TCCCGTGGGATTGGATCGGCTTGGGCAGAACACCCCCAACGAATCCGCCATGTTTATCAACATCAGAACAAGTAATTGCCATTTTAGGTGTGGCGGCTGGACAGGCCAAACCGCAGCCGAATGGAAGCCAATGGGGACACCAAACCAGGATGAACAATGAAGCCGAAAGCAAGCCGGGCCCGCAGTCTTTCGATTTGACGTTTTTTTTTGGTGGTACAGCATGTTTGTTGTCGTTGTTTCGGTTGTGCATTCTTTCCTATGCATGATACATGGGTTCTTGAGGCCCCCCTTTGAGCTTGGAAAACCATTTTAGATCCGGTGGCTCTTCGCCCGCCTGATTTGATACCTCCATGCTGGGCACGCAACCGATGTGTTTGATCGTGATGGGGAAAGCAGAAGGGGGTAAACAATTGTTGGACTTTTTCCGGACCCTCCATTTGGATATGCTGTGTTTTGAGGGTACCCTTTCTCGATGGTTTTGCAGGGAAACCAAAAAGAAAACCGAAACCATGTTTGGGGGAAAAACCGCCCTGAAAAGCAGACACACCCATGTAGCACCCAGATCAGGTCGTGTCAAAAGGTTTGGCCTCTCCGCCAGCTCGCGGCCCCGCGAGCTCCGCGCGCTCCGCGCGCTCCGAGGATTCAAAGAGTGGCAGAGATCTCACGAGAGCAAGTCGCGGCAGACCATCTACGCGACCCAGAGACTTGGCAAAGTGAGACGCGCGAAGGACTTCCGTTTCTTCCAGAGGAAGCAGCCCAGGCGAAACTTCCCGAAAGGGGCTCCTCAAAGATTCAATCTTGACATTTTGAACCGGTACCTTGCCACCTGACCAAAAGTGAGAGTGACGTTTTTCATTTTTGTTCTTGGGGGGATTGCCTTTGTGCCAACAGGGAACTTAGATTCGCTCGTGTTTGGTGTTTGGTGTTTGGTTTGCATGTTTGCACATTGCCAGGTCGCCTGGATCGTGAAAGTTGCCAATAGCTCGGAAGAGAAAAGCAAAACCATGTAGATGTTCTCTTTGTTGCATAGATCTGGTTTTGGATGCAGCGTGGCAGACAGTTGCTGAATGCGGGAGCCCTCTTTTGGGCTAACAGAGGTAAGTAACCACGTGGTTACCCCCCCATTGCACAAATACCTCCCGTGATTCGTTTTGATGGCATGCGCTTGCATCGTTTGAGGGGATGAGTATGGAAGAGGGGCGGGCAAAATTCTCAGAGTACAATAATTCCATGCATGGCATGTATTAACCTCAAACTTTGCATATATACATATATCTATCTATATCTATATATATATATATATATACACGTGCATACACGGGTGTGCGGTTTTCGGCGAGCCTTCGCTGTCCTTTTTTTCGCTTCTGCTCGGCTGAGCCCGTGGAAAAGCCCGAGGAAAGAAACCGTCGGCCTCATCACGAAGGAGGTTCAGAAGCACCGAAACCTGTTCGATGTGGTGCAGGAGACTCAAGACATTCCGAAATGGAGTGGCACCATCAGGCCTCAATTTCAACAGGTTTGCGGGGTACGGTTGAAACAAATCAACTCGTGATCGCATTAAATTTTTAGGAACTATGTCGCTTCTCATCCAACATGCCAAACTTGTCCCAACGATTTAGCAAAAGGAGCGCCCTCTACCAAGCAGACCATTTTCGTTCTCCCTTCAGCCAGGTTCCGTAGGAGGGTAAATCGTTGGAGCAGCAGGTGTCCCATGTATTCCGCTTCAGCCCCAATGAATTCGCGGGCGTACGTCGCGGGCGGGCGTCAAACTCTTGTTGGCGCCCGGTGGATTGGACCATGGTCCAAAGGGCTGGCACTAAACGTAGCCCATGATGTTCGATTTGCTGCCCATGTTGCAAGGAGAAGTTGCGACCGTACTCGTGTGAGGTGACCACCCCGTTTGCCGAAGAGCCTCGTGACAGTCTCCCAAAATTGGCGCTTGCTTGAGGGCACAGCATCCTTTTGGGGGATAGCTTAAAAGGAATTTCAAAGGAAAGCGGGCTCCATTCAAAGGCTCTCATTTTGAGAGAAACCCAACGAGGGAGCTTCCTTCCCGGATATTCTAGGAAAAGCATGTAACCGCCCCATTCTGACTGTTCTTCTACTTAGAAATCCGAATGAGCAGGCGTAAAGCCCCTATTTGCAATTGAGTAGGTGATGCTACTTTTGGTTAACTGGGCAGTATGAAGGCCCATATAAACCTTCAGGTGGACCCACAATTCGGCTCTGGTGAAACATTCTAAGGTACATCATGTATGAACCAGAAGCGCACATTTTGATTGTGGGGCCGAGGTAGCAACTGCATCGCGGCCCAAACATGCTGAAGCACAAACATGTTTAGACACAAACGGGTTGAATCATGTTTGTGGCCCAGTTGCCAACGGATCCGGCTGCGATTCATTTAAACATGCTCAAACATGCTGCCTTCTTTTGAGCATGTTTAACCATGTTGGAGCTCCAGCTGCCATTGAACAAAGATTGTTGAAGCCACTCCGCTCAAGTTCCTTTTGCTTGACCGATGCGTTTGCTTCGTCTAGAAACTGGGACAGCAGCAGGAGTACGCCTCCTTTCGGTTGCTCCGAAACAGGAGCTGCAGAAGCAGCAGCGCGAGCAGCTGAAGCAGCAGAGGTGTGCGCGCGCATCAGGGCTCGGGCGGCAACAAAGGGGTGCCCCTTTCTCCCGCGGCCGGGTTCAGGGACCTCTCTTTTGAGATTTTTCTCCCATGTTGGGCCAGAATCCAACATGTGAACGGTTTGTTGGGCGAACGGCTGGTCACCACAGCACAGAAAGCCGTAATGTTAAATGCCAGCCATGCCAAGAATGCAATTTGGCGGCCCGACGTGGAAGCCGGCGGTCTTCGTGAGCATGTTTTGGCCTATTGGTTCCTCAGGGTTGTTAACCTTAGCTTTTGGAACGGTTCATTGGTCCCATGACCCAAACGCTAGCTTACTCAGGGGGAGCCGACCTCCACACTTTCTGCACATCGACCACGCCAATCCCCGCAGAGGGTGTCATTTTCGCAGGGTGGGTTCAGTCCCACCACGCCGCCTTAGGAGACTAATTAACTACTTTCGTGTGGATCCACATGTCTCGTGCGAACTTTCTCGTGCTAGTGGGCTCGTGCACATTTGGCTGTGCGAGTTTTCTCGCACAAGTTGGCTCGTGCAAGCTTGGCGGTGCGATCTTTCTCGTGCAAGTTGGCTCGTGCACGTTTGGCTGTGTGACAAGGCTGGCAATTTTACCGGCTTCGCAATGCTTTCGGGAACAATCCAAATAGTTTGAATATTCAAGATTTGTTAATATGTACATTTGTGTATTTGATTTTCTGGGCTTCTTCAATATTCAGCATTGGCCCAAGGAGGACCCGGGAAGTTAAATCATGTATTGTGTAGAAGACAGGCGAGAACGCGGAGCTGCCTTGATGTTTCCCGAAAGATGCCACCAGCCGACAAATAGTTTCGAAACCTTTGTCCTCGCATTTCTTGTCTGCGCTTGGCATTCCCCAAGAAATAGCTGACCGCGCCAAATTTCGATGGAAATTGCAGAGCAATCCGGACTTGCGCGTTTAAGATTGAGGGCGGTTTCCCTGCCGTAGGGTTGTTTAAGCTATAGTGAAGACTGCTTTTCCGTGCATAGGTCGCACCCTTCATTCAGTCGTTTGGACAGCCCGTTTCGTGACGGCTGCAAGGTTTTGAGTGGCTTGGAGTCGACACCAATGCATGAAGAATGTTGCTGTGCTGGCCGGCATGGAACCTCCAAAACCATAGCTTTTGGAGGAATCTCCTGAGGAGGCTCTCCTTGTTTTATGAGTTCCATGCTGCAGGGGCGTATGAAGTTTGACAGACAATCACGTCAGCAAATGGCTGCTGAACATAACCCTTTATTCCTTCGTTGCCCACCAAACGGCTGCCAACTAAGATTCATGCTCATGTCGGTGGTTGCTGAGCATGGAACATCCGTTTATTGGGACAGTATCGAAGGTTTGGAGGGGTCCACATCTTCCCAGGAAGCACCAACGTGTTCTTCATTGTTCACCAGAGAATCATGGCGTGTGGGCTGCAAAAGGAGTGTTGATCATGTCACACAGGGTCGTGTCGTTTGGCGGCCGTAGCTCGACCGGAAGACAAGACAGTCCTTACATTGGGTTTGTTCACCTGAAGGGGTCCCCGCTTTTGGGAAGCAGCCACGAGGTTGATACCCCACTTTTTGGGGAATCGGTTGCCTTCGGCACTTGCTTGCCTTCCAAACGCCAATTGGCCGTTTTAGGCTTTGATATTCTACCTGGTTTCAAAGGGGCCACTGTGTGGCTGGCAGCCATGTTCCCAAAAAATATGCAAGCGGTTTGGCGTTGCTCACGTAAGTTTCCCGTCGAACGTGGCATTTCGATGCCGCAGGCTCGAGGAGGACACGGGGCGCTTCGAGCGGTGGCAGCGCACGCCACAGGCGAGTCTTGGGAAACCCAGTCGCCATCCCAGAATTCTGGGCCAACCTCCAGCTAGCATGGTGAAATGATTGACCCTCGTTGTTCCAACGGTTTTTGTTGGCTTCCGTGTTTTTGTGCTCCTCATTTCGTTTCCTCCTTCTCCAGGAGGTTTTTGGGGACTAGCTTGTTGAACGGGGGAGGGGGGTGACCGTACGACGACCAGTTTCAGCATCGTCTGCCGGGGGGGGTTGTGGTGGAGGGAGTTTCGGGCCCATATCGCTGCAGGGCTGCCAAAAGGGCTCGTTTCCGGGCCGTGAACCCGCTTTTGAAGGAAGAGCCCCAACCAAGCAAGAGATTTCAATGTAGCGATTGTTTGTTTTCGGAGGGGAGTGCTGTTCTTAGTTTGGCTGACCTACCAGGGTTTGGGGGGAGGTCGCCATTGTGTCAACTCTTCATGTCTTCACCCTGACATTGGGCTCAAGAGAAGTGGTCGCTGCAACCGTAACAAAGATGGGTGTTTTTAGAAATGAGGCGAAATAAGTCACCCCTCAAATACTAGAGCTGTTCAGCTGAGATTGCCTCACAGAGAACTAGAAGCTTAGATACCGACCCTCACTGTCGATCGCCATGGACTGCCGATGTATTGCAGCGATGAGTGGAGGGGACCCCTTGTCCTTGCACCGCATCAAGCGACGCCGCGTGGGCAACAAGGACGTCCACATCAGCATCAAGTATGCGGGCATCTGCCATTCGGACATCCACCAGGCCCGCGAGGAGTGGGGCAAGGGCATCTTCCCCATGGTGCCGGGCCATGAGATCGCCGGGGTGGTGGAGTCCGTGGGCGACGGCGTGACCAAGTTCAAGGTGGGGGACCGGGTGGGCGTGGGCGTCTTCGTGGACTCCTGCCGCCAGTGCAGCGCCTGCAAGGCCGGCGATGGGAACTACTGCGAGCCCGGGATGGTGGCCACCTACAACGCCCGATTCAACTACAAGCACTGCGAGGAGTACAACGCAGAGGGGGGAGCTCCGACCTATGGCGGCTACTCAGAAAGCATCACCGTGGACGAGGCCTATGTCTTGAAGATTCCGGATGGCATGGACATGGCGGGTGCCGCCCCGCTGCTCTGTGCGGGCATCACCGTCTATGCTCCCATGGTCTTCCACGGCTTGAAGCCTGGCATGAAGCTGGCCGTGGCGGGGCTGGGCGGCCTGGGCGCTATGGCGGTGCTGATTGGCAAGGCCATGGGTGCGGAGGTCACCGTGCTCACGCGCTCCGCCGGGAAGAAGGAGGAGGCGCTGAAGGGTCTCAAGGCCGACAAGGTCGTGCTGGTCACCGATGAGGCCGAGGCCAAGTCGGTGCAGGGCTACTTCAACATGATGATCAACACCATCAGCGCCCAGTACGACCTCAGCTCCTACTTGGCCATGCTGGGCAACGCCGGAAAGTTCATCATGGTGGGTTTGCCCTCCGAGCCCATCAGCCTGAGCGGCTTCAGCATCGTGGGAGATCGCAAGATGGTCGCGGGCTCCAAGATCGGCAACATCAAGGAGACCCAGGACATGCTGGACTTCTGCGCGAAGCACGGCATCACGTGCCCCCACGAGCTGATCCCCGCCGACCCCGCGAAGGTCAACGAAGCCTACGCGCGCGCCGTCAAGTCGGACGTGAGGTACCGATTCGTGATTGACACCTCCACCTTTCCAAAGTAAGAGAACGTAAGAGAATGTAAGACAATGTCTAGAGATTGCCGAGGGATCGAGAGCGAGGCACTTGGACTCGAAGCCGTTCATGACAGATGCTGGTTCCAAGAATCTCTTCTGATATCACCTTCTGGCTACGTGTCCATCCTTGCTGAATGGAGATTGGTGCAGGCAGCTTCTTCCATTTTCGACTTCCCTTTTGCAATACCCCAAGCGGCTCTTGAGGAAGAGCCCCCTTGTAGAGTTTGCAGAGACCAAATCAGACTGTGCACGGGCCAGTCAGTTTTGCGGCATGGGAAAAATACGGCACGCACACGAACACCACTTACCTTCATTGAGTTCCATTCCAAGTGCTTCTTGAGTCCCGTGGCAAACAGTTCTGAGCCGTCTTGGTCACCCTTGCTCCCCAAGATGGATTTGGAATCATTCACCCGTGGTCAGTATCGTGAACGGCGGCACTCGGGATTCCAGGTGTCGATTTGATTCATTTGACAAGTTCTTTCCAGACCTTTACTCACTCGCTCCTGCTAGTCCATGTGTAGTCAAGGTTTTCAGGGGTCACTCCTGTATTTCCAGGTCCTGTGGCCCAGTGTGAATGATTTTCGTTCAACTGCATGCAATGTTTCATGCACTGCAATCGTCCGGATATACCTTGCACCATGGTTAGAGCCATTGCGTTTAAGATATCAAAAAGCAGACATGACATCCAACTTGGGGGCAAGAACGTCGAGCTGCGCGTGCCAGCCCCGCTGTGACCGCCACAGGCACTCGCAAAGCGGGAGGAGCTCCTCCAGGGCACCGGTCATTGCCCTTTTCTCGGGGATCCCTTGCTTCGGGTTGATGATTGCAAACATAGAGCTGCCGCTCCTTTCACCGGTTTGCCCAGTGGGAGTTTACTAAGCCTCTGGAGTTCTCTCTTGGCTTTTTGGCGGAGTTGTGTTTGAAAGGAAACACCAAGACGGGTACGGTGTTTTCCCCCCAAGTGAGATTCCGGCCTTTCTTCCTTCTAATGGGTTCTTCCTGTTAAGTGATTTGCTTTCGGATCAAGGCCCGCTACGGGAGATTCCTTGCATGTTGATTGGCAAGTAGGGAACGAGGGGAAACCGTTGCAGTTGGCAAGGGGGGATTGGGCTAGGCGGGCCTAGGCTCTTTAAGAACCCCCAAGGTGCTCCGGATCAGCTCACCGCACATCTTCATGTGGTTGCCCTCTTGCGCTCGGGTTGCCATCGACATTTCAGTGAGGGTGTTCCTGCATAGCAAGGAACCCACCGAACCGGTATTTGTTCACAGCTATCTTTTTTTTTTGGGGGGGGGGCCGCCTGTTAATTTGTGTGGCGGAGTTGGTTGGCCATTGCCATGCAGCCATGACACTGGACGGGCTTCCCGCGCCGTGTAACGTGCTCTGCAGTTGTGATGCTATGGGTTTTGCAAGCTGGTGCAGACTTTACACTTTTTCCTTGGTGTCTTCCCCTTCAGTGTAGTGGTGACCCAACAAGTCTACACTTTTTTGGGCTGGTCACTGGCCAAGATGGTTCTCTACCCACCCGAGTCGCAGTCAGGAGAGCGCCGTGCAAGAGCCTGAGCCAGGAGCCTGGTGACAAGATCTCTCTGGCCGTTAAATGGCACCCTTTTAGGTCCCTTCTGATCCACCCGAAAAATGGGTTCTCTCTGGTCAAGCGAGGATTTGGGCGAGTGATAGAGACATCGCAAAGTGGTTTGGCCTGTGACCTCTCTCACGAAGCCGGCAAGCTTGTTGTGACACCTCAGGCTTGCTGTGCAAAAGACTTTCCTGCTGCCCAGCGCTAAACCAGACCCTCTTAGATCTTGGCTGTGGAAAGCTGCTTGGCAACGGATTGAGCCTGCTGGATTGATGGGGCCCAAGTGAAGGATCCACACAAAAATGGTGCGTTTATCGTCCAGGTGGTCAATCCTGGGTTCTCACTAGTCTCAACTGGTGGATTTCCCCTATACCAGGCAGCACCTGGACTATCCGAAGGTTACTGAGATCGAATCACTGTTCCCAAAGATGGGGACCTCACATCCTTTGTTAACTTTTACAGGTGTTTGGTAGCTTCCAGCCGGCCAGACGGGGCCACTCCCCCCGACCTGGCTTCGGGTCCATGCCACCAAAGAGTCCCCAGCCAAAGACATGGGCGTGTGGTTTGTCGGTGTGCATTCGGTGCATGCGATTTTTCCGTGCTTGAGTTGCCCATGTCGCTCGCTGAGGCTCGTTGATGAAGGCACGTGCCTTCCAGGGCTCGTAATGCAGCCCCTGGAGAAGGATTGTGCTTCCCCTCGAGGGGTATGTCCTTGGAAGGCTAGATCCAACGTGAATACGAATCGTTAGGAGTTAGCTTGAGGTGACCCGGGATCTGGGGCATCGAGATAGGTAAAATCCTCACGAAGGACCTCTCGAGGCGAATTCCAAGAGATAGGAATCGAAGGTGATCGGTTTGAGGGCCTAGGATCCCCATCCTGAAATCACCTCACTTTGTGGCCCAAACGGATGGCAAGGCTGGAGATCAGCAGGTTGGGTGATGCGCATCTGGGCTGAGGTGCTGAGGTTGTGCAAGCAAGTGTGAAGTGTGTGGGTGTGTCTGACTTTCCGAGTGCCAAATCGTTTGCCCTCAGAAAAAGCAGCAGCACGCCTGCAGTGCCAATCTTGGTTTTCAAGGCCAACTGACCGAACCTCGCTGGTTCCATCACCATGAGGATTCCTCCCGATCTTATTTCGTCTCCTCCCGCACCTTCGATTCGAGTTGGGCGGACACGGACACGGACACGTTCTTCCCGGACACAACGAACAGGATTACAGACGGGGGCTCTCTTACTGTTCTGAACAAAACTTCAGAGGGAAAGCCAAAAGCGAAGGCCGCGGCATCCACCGGGCTGCGACGTAGGACGTAGGGGGTATGGGCTTGGCGCCCGGTTTCGGGTCGTCGGCAGGCGTGAGGCGGGAAAGAGAGGGCCTCAGCCACGGATCTTTTGGGCGTCTTGTCGGGTCTGCACTGCGAGTCTCCTTTTTCGGTTTTGTTCTTCTCCGGTTTCGAAGGAATCCAAAAAGAAACGGCTTCTTCATTTCGGCATGCCAGGGCAGCGATTCGCGCAGTGGAAGCTGCAGCACCGTGCTTGAGTCGGATGCCATGGTTTCACCCGCGAATGTTCAAACACGTGCGCGTTGTGCAGCTCGGTGTGACAGGATCTTCCACTGCCGTGCAAGCCACCCCCTGGGTAAAAAGGATGAATCTCCAAACCACACATCATATTCCCACTAAACAATGTCCACCAAAAGATGCCCACAAAATGCCCATCTTCTCCATCTTCCATAAAGTGGCTGTGGTTTGGGGGCAGTGGCAATCCTTTGGAATCAGGGTGGTACAACTTGCCGAGCGCCCTCCGTGCTCAGTTGTTTCAGACGAGGCGTCGACCTAGTTGCCTGTGCAGGGTCAATGTGATGTTTGGCAACACGCGCACACACACACACTCTCGTTCATTTCTGCCCTGCAAATTGACAGCAGTGTCCCCCTTGTTTGAGGGGGAATGCGTCACTGACAAGAGCTGTGTGGTTGTTGGGTCCCGAAAATTCGTGGACTCCCCCCTTCACCCCCCGCCAAGCAAATGACATCATGCCACCGAGCATTCAAGCAACCTCGCTCATTGGCTTTCAGCTGCAGGCAGTTGCAGGTACTGCACCCACCACATGATGACGAGGAAGGGTTTGCCTTGTGACCCTTGGGAGAATCAAGCTCTGCCAAACGAGGTTCAAGGGTGTCTAAACCCGCAGGCGCCTGATCACACTGCTTGACCCCAAAAACCTCTAGCCTGAGAAATTTGACGAAGGTTCCCCCCTAAAGAACAACCCTAGAACGTGCCACATAGACAGCAAGCACCAGAGAGAACATCGGCTTGGGCTGATGGTCCGAAAGCTTCTTTTGCCGTGCTTCGCGCGGCGCTCAGCGGAGAAGCCTACATTACTCGTGTTGTTCGGACTAGGTCCCTTAAGGTGAGCATTTGGAGGGTTCTCGAAAAGTTCCCTTGGTGGGTCCCTTCAAACCGTGACTTACAACAGAGTGTGATTTTCAGGATGCCACTTTAATGGGCATGTGTTGTTTGTTCTTTTATTGGAGAACTCCGTCCAAGATGGTTAGTTGTCATGAAGCCCTGTGCCCCCATGTCAGTGTTGCTGAAGGTGCTGGCATGATGCGAAAGTGCGATGGTCTTCGCGACATGACTTGGTTTCCTGGGCACGGTGTCACATCCAACTCCAAGGCAGCGTATGCGTTTTGTTCGCAAGCATAGGCCGGTGGTAGGTTGGAATATTGCTACGGCTTGTTTTGCATTCGTGGTTTGGGCAGGTCTTGATTGATTACTCCTTGAATTTTGATAATCAAAGTGGTTGTTGCTTTGTTCCGGGCGTTCAATTTCCAGTCTTTTGCAGTGGGCGGTTCAAATCATGACCCTCCTTGCGGCAGGAGCACCTTACGAGTCATTTGACACAGTTGCGTTCCGCAAAGTTCTTCTTGTGAAGCACTCAGAACAGAGCGACTCAACCTTTGGGCCTTTTCCTTTGTTCCCTTTCTGGGTCCTTTGAAGTGAGCATCCACAGTCCAGCCGCGAGCTGGAGTCGTTTGCAGCGTTTTGCCAGCCTGGTTGAAGTAGCAGAGGCTAAGCCTCTTGCTGGCTGGTTCTTCGTTTTAGTCAAGGGTCAAACAGAGTTTAGCCACTTTCTGCCGGCCTTTCGTCAACTCAGGTCTTCTGGTGGTTTTGCCCGTTCCCTTGAGAGGTTCTTGCCCAAAGCCGACCTTTTGACTTCCATTTGGTGCAATGGTGAGTTTTGATTTCTCCCAGATTATTTTCAAGGAAAATGGTCATGGCGAGTGAAATGCAGTGAGCAAGTGTTCGTGGCACCAAAAAGGAAATGGAAGTTGTCCCTTTGATTTCCAGACATGATTCAATTCGTTTTATTTGAGACCGGAGTTTCCACTTAAGGCATCGGGCAAGCAGAATACCTGGTGCTTTTTCGCTCAAGGCATGAAACAAGTAGTGGAATCCAAGAATCAGCTTGCTTGCAATTGGAAGGCCCCTTGAATTGCTCAGCCCAAAGCGAATTGATATTTAGGTGTCTCTTCTTGGCCCATTTGGATATGAATTTGTTTCGGGAACCCCTTGCAGTATGGCTTGAGGAGGTAAATCCCCACCTATATCATGTCCACCGCAGGCTCTTTAACACCCTTAAACCACTCACGTCGAAGCAGCCGAAGCAAGCTGTGGGTGAGTTCCTTCAAGGTGCCCATGAGCGATGGACGGGTGAAACCTCCAACCTTGGTTCGACATGGTTGTTTCCAAACCAGCCAAAAGCAGGGAAATCAGCAAGCCTGTGGGCAGGGTATATTATCCATTCCAACTGGTGCGAAGTGGATTTGGCCCACAGGAATTGCACTGCTTTCCAATTCAGTCTTGCTTGCCGCCAAATGGGTTGTGCATATTGGGGATCCAATGGTTGCATTCTTTTTGGTTTCCTTTTCTGCCAAGAAAAGGGCAGCCTGAAAAAGCTCATCCCCTCATGTTTTGCGATGCAGGCTGTGAGCTTTCCGTGCCTGGTACCGGAGCTGCGCAGCCCGGAGGCTTGCTCCACTGGATCCCTGGATCTGGGCTGATTTTGAGTTGGTCTCTGGAGTCAGAAAGGCATTATTTTCTGGAGGACAACCAAAACATCAGTCAGTTTGACTGTTTCTGGGGGTTCTCAAAGTCAGAAACTGGGGTCGTTTTTCTTTGACCTACCACTTTGGGGGTGACGTTGATCGTGGCAAAATATTGCGGCCACTTCAGGGAAGAAAAACAACCCCGATCAGTTGACTATGACTGACTTAGCGGAAGAGCCAAAAGCAGGTAGCAGAAAAAGTCCCTACATTTATTTGCCCTTGAAGGGCGGTTTTGAACATTACTTGTTGGGGCAAGCTCATGTGAGAAACCCGGTATAGTCGTCTTGGTAGAATCAGAGATCGACGCGTTTGGTAGAACCAGGCTATGTTCATTTCGGGGTATGTATGTAGGATCCTGCAAGTTCACTTCCCAAGTAGACGTAACCATTTTTATATTTCAACTTTTCCATGTTTTCCCAAGGGCGAAACTTGGAATAAGAGCTACCATAGAATTCATAGAACAAGCCCAGTTGTTGGTATCCCGAACACCCCCCAGGCCTTCCGAACCCTGTCCAGCCACGGCTGCATCTCCCAACCCCTGGCAGCTTTCGCCAGGCTTGTGGACAGCTGTGCAGCCACCGCTCTATGGAACCCTCGGAACCAATCGAAGCCTTTGAGCTTATCTCAGCAGAGACCCCGTGGTTTCAGCTGTTGGGGAATAATTCGTTTTCTTTAAACACAGAATTCGTGGGTAGCTTAGGCATGTAGATTGGACATTAGCATGTCAATGTATTATATATATAATGTATATATATATATACACTGTATATATATATATACATATATATATATATACTTATACTTTTACGTATACGTCTACGTCTACGTCTACGCATTTGCGTGTATTTGTACGTGTATGTGTATGTGTATGCTTATGCGTACGTCGCGGTATATGTGTATGTGTATGCATGGTATCTATGCAGGCAATGTCCATTTGGGAGGTGTCTTGTCAGGTTGGCTTCACTTGTACAGGGTCGCGCATCCCCATGCCATGTGCCCAGCATGGCTTCGCATGGGTTGTGTTCGGAAAGCCAAAGGAGTCCTCCAGGCCGCGGAGCGTCAGCGCTACGGGCAGCTGCTGCGGCGCCTCAAGGTCAGCGCCCAGCCGGGGCCCTGTCCCAGCCACCCGCCTGAACTGGTCCGGCGAAGTGTCCAGGCCGCAGCCGCTGGAGTGCGATGAGATCGATGAGGCGGGATGGAGTCTTGGGGAAAAGACATGTTGCTTGCAACCGGGGCAGGACTCGCTAATCCAGAGCCGACTGCGAGTGCTTCCAGCAGCCCAACGTGTAACCATGGGGGTCTTTGTCAAATTTGGAGCCCGGAAGACGGAACACTGTAGAGGGATTCCCCTATGGATCGTTCCCGACAAAACAGGGCAACCGCTTCACACACGAGGGTTTCATCAAGTCCCTCGCAATGAGCCCGTGAACTTGGGCCTCCATTTCCTCTTCCGGCGGCTCGTTTGTGGATGGTTGGCAGCCGTGGTCGATTCCTCTCCTCCGACACAAGGAGTATAGCCGCTTGTGCACGCACCGTGTGCTTCTTGTCACATACGCTTCGGGCGGCGCCTTCTTGCTTGAACATGCAGGGAGCCTACTGACCCCTGTTCGGCAAGTGTTTGCCCAAATTGAATGGATCCGTCGTTTTTGACAACATTTGGCTCAGAGAAGGGCCATGTGTCGTCGCGAGGGCTCTTGATGTGCGCAAACTTGGCTTTCTACTCTTTGCAATGAGCGCCGTTAGGGGGAGTACCGAAGCTGAAGAGACCGGTAACGAATCAATGCAGGGCTGCGTCCAGACATGGACTCGCAGGGGTTGGCAGAGAGGGGTCGTGGCCCCTGGTTGTCCCATTGGTTGGGCTAGAGGCCCTTTTATCCAAGCTATTCCACCAGCAAACCTGTGAAAGGGGCGGGCGTGTGCTTTCTTCCAAAAAGGGCCTCTGAAGCACACAAGATAAGATGTTACTTGTTGGTTTGTGAAGCCAAACAGAACACGTGGTAGCCTCAAAATTGGAACTGCTGGGGTTTCAGCGGCTGAACCAGTGGGACCAGTTTACATTGGACGTATCTTGCCTTCTTAATTGTTTTCCATATTGATGTTCCTTGATGCGTCTTCCCTATTTCCCAGCGACAAAGTATTTGTTTGCTGCTGAACAGGTGGTTGAAGGTTGACAGGGATGAGGAACATGTGGGGCAGCCACATGTTTTGCCGTGGGTCCATGGCTCCTGCTCGAGTCGGCCTCTCCCAGGCAGGCAGCCTTCAGCTTGGCGAGAGCGAGGGCCACCGGCTGCGGCTGCGTGTGGCGTATGCTTCTCGGAAGACATGGCTGAACTGAGAAGCACAAGCGTACGCCATACGCCTGATATATTCGGTTGTAAGGTTGACCCGACATAGTCGGCTCTTTGGCGCAAGTTCGAGGTCCCAATGAGTGCTGAAGGTAAATGGGCCGGGAACATCATGAATCATCAGGATTCTGCTCAGGGAATCAATGGAGATGGTTGTTTTGAAGTTTGTGCGTTACAGCAATTTGTGCAGATTAGTTTCGGCCATTTTGAGGGATGCGTGGTATTTCCTACAGAGTCTCGCCATGCGAGAGTAGCCATGGCCGTGTTGAGTATGCTATTGCTCCACATGTTGGCTGTAAGGCTTCAGAAACCTGCAAGCATGAGGCGGTTCGACAAAGCTTGAGCAAGGTGGGGGGCGGGGGCTTGGCCATTCTTGTTGACACACCCTTCGCAATATATACTGGATAGATGGTTCTGCAGATAGACCGACCAGGAATGTGCCGAATGGCGACAAATATCTCACCCAAAGCAGAAAATCAGCTTTCCCATAGGTTGAGGTGTGTTGAGGTTCGGGTTGGTGCAAACCCCGGTCGAAAGTTGGCGAGCAGTTTCCAGCTTGCTTTCACCATAGCCAAGTTTCTATGCGGTTCGGGTCTCTCGAGCCACTGGCTGGTGTTTTCAGATCTCAACGTGGGATGGCATGAATGAGGAAGCCATGGGAACCTATGAGCTGCTGCTGAGACTTCGGAAATTATAGCAAGACAACGAGAGAACCCATGAGAAGATCTATCCTGCCGCCTAAACGAAGCCCTGGGAAGCGCATTTCTGAGGATGGCAGCCGCTATCACGGCTGGGCGCGCGTGGGGGATCCTGGCGGAAAGGTTTCGGTGCAGACGATGTTTTCGCTTCTCTTTGCTTCCACACTCTGCAAATCGTATATTTTTCTCTCTCTTCTTGCATCGTTCGCTGGCTTGCCTTATTTTGTCTTGATTGCCCTCAACCAGCAGGGCTCGTATTGATTGCATTGCAACTGTTTGGCGTACAGGCAGAGATCTGGCTTCTTATCAAGTTAGATGCCTAACCATGAAGATGAGCAGCGCTACCCTCGAGCCATTTTTCTTGCATCCGAGGATCTTCGATCTGGAACCTGAACAGCTACGTTGAATGCCCCAAATATTGCAAGCAAACCAACCACAAACCATGGCATCTACAGGGTGTCCCTCACTCCCTTGCAATACTCAGGGCATCCACCGTATTTCTCAACTCACCCTTCTCAACATCGACCCGCCGCCCCTCAGAAGGTTCCAAACCGGTCCAAGGACCCCAAGAGAGTTCTGGGTGTGGGCGGCAGGATCCAAGATCTGGCCCCCTCAAGACTCCCGCGGGTTTTGCCGGGGCGTGGAAGTCATCACGTCCTTGGTCTAGCTGTTTGCACGTCCCGGTGTTGCTTCCCCAGTTTCTGTTTTTTGCTTTTGGGGGGAAGACCGTTGTAGCTAGCAAAAAAGCACAGACTTGTTTCCAAATCCCCACAAAACGTGAGCATAGAAGGCATAAAAAGCCAGTGTTTGAAGGTGTGGAAGGAACACAGGACGTTTGGGAGAGAGAAAGAAACTCATCACCGGAAAGTGAGTCGTATGAGGAAGCAAACTTTTTCCGCGCAAGTTTGAAAGAAACATTTCGGGGTCTGAAACAAACAAAACTCTTCAGGAAAAAGTTTGTGTCCACCCCCCCAAAGCTTCTGTAAAGTTGGAGGTCTGTGATCTTCCTCCTTTAACGACACAATTGGAAAGGAAAAAGGTGTGAGAACACAACCTCCGTGACAAACAGCTGCGCAAAAGACAAACACGCACTCACACCGAATCCTGAACATTCCAAACTCCCCCTTAAGCCGCTGACTCCAAGGTAAAGGGTGGGTCGCCGCTGACCATCGCCGGTGTGCTGGACCGCCGGGGCCCTGAGCCTGCGCCGCCAGCCGGGCGTCGGATGCAAAACATGATGCAAAACGTGGTGGGACGCGTCGATGTGACACCGGTGTGAATTCCTTGAAAGTGCTAAAGCCGTCATGGTGGGCCTGATCTTCTGACATCGCTCATCTGGACGTAGCATGTCCTTGTGCGTGTTTCACACATTCCTCGGCGATTTCCCTTTGTTGACCAGTCCGGCGGCCCTAAACGGATGCCTCGCGATTCACGTTTGGTTTTACTTTGGCTTTCTTCACTTTGAGGGGAGTGGAACATGGATACAGTTGAAAGTCCAAGTTGTTTGTGCATTTTGGGACGACCCCGCCAGGTTTCGCCGAGTTTGGCTCAGGCGCCTTCTCACTGCTGCTGCGCCGGCAGGTCTTCCTTTGCGGCGCCAGCAGGAGCCGATCTGGGCGAATTTGCTGTGGGCACTCGCGTAAGGCGGTTGCACACTCTTCACAGGTCAGAAGTGGAAGTTATGATGTGATAGCCCTTGGACATCCTTACTGGAATGAGAACTGGGAGCCTCAGCTACGGATTCATTGCTTCAATGTTCTTGGCCCGTCTAGTTTGATTGAGGTGACAAACAGGGACATACGTTGCCACATTTCACCAGGACGGATGCTGGTGTGCATGCTTTGGGCCAGGCGCGGTTTGCGGAGGTCGGGTCGATGGGAGAGCCTGCAACACATACAGGCCTCCTTTGCGACCACAGTTTTTTGCCCACGCGTGGTTGCGCTCGTGCATTCATTCTGGCGCTGCGTCAGCGGAGGTGTTTTGGTGGCTTGCCTCTGTAGTCGTTGGGCGGTTCTGGGTTCTAAAGAACCACACTGAGTAGTTATGGGGGTATCCTGGTTCCGCTGGTTGTCTGCTGCTGCAGTTTCAGTACTCCCTATGGCAAAGCCTGCAGGGGACTGTGAACTTTGAGCTTGTCATTCAGCAGTCGGAGTTTTGGCTTGGAGTTGTTTCATTGAGGGAAGCAACCAAGCAAGCAAGCAAGCACGCACGCAAGCACGCAAGCATGCAAGAACTGCAAGCAGGCAAGCAGGCAGGCAGGCAAGCAGGCAGGCAGGCAGGCAGGCAGGCAAGCAGGCAAGCAGGCAAGCAGGCAAGCAGGCAAGCAGGCAAGCAGGCAGGCAGGCAGGCAGGCAGGCAAGCAGGCAAGCAGGCAAGCAGGCAAGCAGGCAAGCAGGCAAGCAGGCAAGCAGGCAAGCACGCAAGCACGCAAGCAGGCAAGCAGGCAAGCAAGCAAGCACGCACGCAAGCACGCAAGCATGCAAGAACTGCAAGCAGGCAAGCAGGCAGGCAGGCAAGCAGGCAGGCAGGCAGGCAGGCAGGCAAGCAGGCAAGCAGGCAAGCAGGCAAGCAGGCAAGCAGGCAAGCACGCAAGCACGCAAGCAGGCAAGCAGGCAAGCAGGCAAGCAGGCAAGCAGGCAAGCAGGCAAGCAGGCAAGCAGGCAAGCAGGCAAGCAGGCAAGCAGGCAAGCAGGCAAGCAGGCAAGCAGGCAAGCAGGCAAGCAGGCAAGCAGGCAAGCAGGCAAGCAGGCAAGCAGGCAAGCAGGCAAGCAGGCAAGCAGGCAAGCAGGCAAGCAGGCAAGCAGGCAAGCAGGCAAGCAGGCAAGCAGGCAAGCAGGCAAGCAGGCAAGCAGGCAAGCAGGCAAGCAGGCAAGCAGGCAAGCAGCAAGCAGGCAAGCAGGCAAGCAGGCAAGCAGGCAAGCAGGCAAGCAGGCAAGCAGGCAAGCAGGCAAGCAGGCAAGCAAGCAAGCAAGCAAGCAAGCAAGCAAGCAAGCAAGCAAGCAAGCAAGCAAGCAAGCAGGCAAGCAAGCAAGCTAAGCTAGCAAGCAAGCAGACAAGCAAGCAAACGTCGGCGAATCTGCCATTTCAATACAGTCTAGATGGACCCGTCCGGATTCATTGGGGGGGAATGGGCTTCCCTACCAAAAGAAGCCCTTCGTGTTGGGGGATCCCTCAAAACCGCCCTGAATCCCACCATCTCACCATTTTTGGTTTGGGGGGCAAAAGCCGAGGCGGCGCACGTGGACGTTGCAGCGGACCGGCCGGAGAACTGGCAGGCAAGTCCACGGGAAGCTGAGACATGTTGAGTACCTTGGTAGAACCCCTCGGGATTGTACCCACAGGGACAATGATTGTGTTTTGAAAGTTTTGAAACCAGCCCCAAACGGGTTCAACTAGTGTGAAACCACTGACTGTCAAGGAGCGCTATGCTGAGCATGGTAGGCAACTTCCCCAGATAGCTTTTTGGATCCCTCACAGAGGGCCATGATGTGTCCTCTGGGATCTCGCAGGAGCTGTGGCAGCGAAAGCTCAATGAGCAGGTGGGTAAATCGGGCAGATAGGTTTTCAGTGAGTGAGTTCATTGGTTGGTTCGCTCGCGACTCTGCGAGCTGGATAGTGAGAGAGCGAGTGGTTCGATCGGTTGGCTGGTTTGTGGGTTGGGTTGGGTTCGGTTGGTTGGTTGATCGCTTGGTCGCTTGGCTTGGTTGCTTGAAATATGGAGTTTTCCGCATCATGTTTCAATGGACATGTTTTCGTCTAGCGTTGTTCGTTTCAGCACTTTGGCCCGACCTGCCAGCTGCCTGACGACATCCGAGTCAGGAGCCTCAGATGGAAATTTGGGCGGTCTGCGTGCGTTTGCGCGTCTTTGAGTTTTTCGCCTTTGCTGTGCGAAACTGACACAAGTCCCTATCCCCAGCTGGGTTTGTCTCAAAATAGCGAGTTCCTTTTTGGATGGGTTTAAGGGAGAATCACAGAGAAATCAACCACCCTCAAGGCGGTCCACTAGATTTCCCCAGTCACGTAAACAACTGTAGGGCAACTTGTAATGGCGTCATCCATGATGCAGGTTTCTGTCATAAGGATCCCATATTTTCGGTTGGTGTATCACATAATATTTGTGTTGGGAGGAGGACATCCCAAATCACGGACCTGCGGTTGATTATTATCCGCTTAGACAAGCCCTTCCGTTTCAAGGTGTCCGGAGCCATCATGAAGGTGCAAAGTCTGTGAGTAAGGCTGCAAGGTGTCGAACGGCCACCCTGCTTCCTCTTGCTAGAATGGCTGAATGTTGGCAAGGAGGCTTGGGTGCAAGTCAAGATATCCCCCACACGCACTGGTTGAAATTACGAAGCACCGCGGCTTGTGTTGGGCCAAGTTGGGTCACTCCAATCCCATGCTGTTACAACACCCCAACTCCAGTTCAAACTTGCCTCAATAGGTGGTCTTGTTCAGTACCCTGTCCTTGGACGCTCGGCGCTCTCTTGCTACCCACTTTTACAGGTGTGCTTGTTATTTTGATACTGACGCCAAGGGCCCAAATCCATTGGTCCCAGATGTTTGATAGTGGAACAAAACCCTGAGAGTTTGCTGTGGTTGAGGGCCCAATCAGTTCTCAATCCCAATACGGACCCGCAGGATCAGGGCCAATAAAGTCCAGGTGTAGCTTTTGGGAGCCCTTTCTGAGGTTTGGCGCTTAGCAAGGGGCAACCTCACCTGTGAGAAAGGCCGATGTTAGGCTCTTGGAGGCTTATCGTCACCTGTTCGCGGCATGTGGTCTTTGGTCGTTTGGTTCTTTAAACTTGGTTATTGGGTTCAGTGTGGTTCTTTGGGTTCGGTTCTGTTTCTGTTTGGTAAGCAATTCGGTTTGCCAACATGCCAGGGCTCGGGAAGCTGTGATCTCCTTTTCCCCCGCGTCAACCCTTACCCAAACTTGGACCTTCCGGGCTTGGCGTTCCACGCTGAGCCGTGGCAACCCAACGGTTCAGCCAAGCGTGGGTGAACATGCCATGGACGTCAGGTCCAAACGGCTACACCCTTTTCTGTTGGACATGGTGAAAAAGCCTCTCGTTGAAGCCTTCGATGAGGTGATCTCATGTGAGCCACAATCAAAACCCGGGAAAGTGAAGGTTAGTTAGTAAGGCCATGAATAGCTGCGGCCGCCTTCTTAGTTCTTTGCTTGGTTCTGGGTCGACCATTTTCGTACCGGGTTTTGATTGTGACTCATGTGGGCAGACGGACTGAGAAGCACAGCTGCGAACTCAGGAATTTAGAGGACGCGCCGGCGGACTTCCATGCACGATTTTCTGCCTCCGGCAAGACGTATGCGAGAGACTCAGATGACAAGACGATTGCATTCTTGAGCCGAGGTCCTTTTAGGGTCTTGTCAGGCTTTATGGCAGTGCAAAACCAGGCACGCTGTTGCTTCAAGAATGTCATACCTCTAGCTTAGTGCGTTTGCAGTCCTGAGCAAGCTCAGTGGAAAATTGGGCATTGGGTTGAGAACGAAGTTCCCGTTCGAGTCACAGAGTGGCAATGCTTGGTTGGAACCAAGCGATTTGGCGTCGGGGCAGGGTTGGTGGCAAGGTTGGTTTCCCCAAATGGCAATGCTGTGCTCAGGTCTATCGCTTGCACTACGGCGAGAATCCGACGAACCCCTTGGAGAGGCGAGAGAAGCGCGCGTTGGAGCGAAGGATCCAAATATGAGTAGGTCTACAGAGCCCCCAAAGAGGTGGTTTTCCTTCTGGTTTCCCTTCAAAAGCCACCCAAACAAAGGTGCCCGCAGAAGGGGACACCCCATATGGATTATTGAGTTATGGAGGATGTGAAGGAGAGACAGCGCGTTTTCCCGATGTTCGTGCGAAAGGGAGGGAACCAACACAGTCTAGCCACTAGCAAGCATGGGTCAGTATTTTCACTTTTTCTGGGGATTATCAAAGTTTGGATACTGGGGTGGTTTCCCTTCAACCTACCACTTGGGGCGTGACTTTGGGAGTGGCATAATAATGGGGCCAGTTGCCTCATTTCGAAGAGTCCTTGAAACTAATCCCCAGACAACACGTTATCAGGTGCACATACCCCAATGTTCTGTTGGGAGCGATTTTTGAGGAACATAGTGCTCACCTATTTTCAAATAGTTCACCGGTTGATATTGTCACTTGTCCTTGTGGCACGCTTAGGCTCCATCGCTTCAGCATGCCTCTCAGCTGGGTGTGTGCCCCAGTTTTGGAAGCTGACAAAGGTCCAAACCAAGCAGATTTTATTTTTCTCGCCAGGGGGGGGGAACCGGCAAACCGTATGAGCCTCGTCTTCACAGAAGCTGCAGACACTGGTTTGGTGTGCGTTTCACGGACAACCAACCAGAGTCACCCGGGGGTGTCAGCACGCCATGCAAGAGAGACAGCACCGACCCCCCCTTCCCCCCGAACGATTCTAAATCTGCGACGTGTGGCAGCCGTAAGAATGATTCAGAAAGCGCTTTGAAGGGGGGCCCATGCCCTTTGTCTTTTGGGTTCCCCAGGTTGGGCTTTTCTTTGAGCCTTTGTAAGAAGAGGCCTCGGAACCTTGAAGCCTTGGCCCAGGCTTGGGAAAGCTCACCCATCGTTTCGCATTGGCCCAGAAAGGTCCGCGACTTCCAGCTGTCTGAGCTGCATGACGCGGCCGCGCTCTTTCGGGGCCAGAAGAACTTCCTGCGCCCAACTTCGGGGCTTCGGGGCTTCGGGGCTTCGGGGCTCACGCGTTGGGCCGGGCCGCTGCTCCTTTCGAGCCCAAGGAAATGGGCAGCTGAAAGAGAGTCCGCCCTGACTCAAGATCGTGCGTGTGTTTTGGTTCTCGGCCAGCTCCCAGTGGAAATAAGTGCAGATTGGGTGCTCCTTGGGCTGGACTCTTTGGAGCATCGCGGCTTCTTCCCAACAGCAAAAGGCTCCACTTTTTGCTGAGCCACTTAGACCAACCCCGACGCGTTTTAAAGAAAGCCGCCCTCTGAAGTGCAGAACTCCGGACGCCAGGCTCGTTGCCAACAAGAGCCGCGCTGATCTAGAACAGCGGTGGCTGGTGGGGCCTATGTGCAAACCCTTGCTATCTGATATCTTGATAGGACCAAGAATAATTTGCTCCAGGTACTTTACCTCACCCGGCAAATTGGAGAGGAAGAGGACCTGCGTGGGTCTCGTGTGGACACTGCCACGCGCAAGTCCACGTCTTTGGCAGCATTGTGGAAAATGAGGGGTTGTCATAGAAGTTGGCTACAGGTACTCCTACAGGGAAGCAGCGAAATGAGCGCAGCTGGTTTTCTTCGAGTTTGGGGATTGGGGTCGAACATGTGGTTGGGAATGAACTTTTGAACACTCTTTTTCGGGTTGCCAGCGCCAAAAGCAACAGGAGTTGTCAGTAGTTGCCTTCAAATGTTTTACCATAGGTAGACACAGGTTTTCATGATTACTCACCAGGGTTGCCAAGTTTGGTTTAAACATGCCCGCACCCGCAAGGAGATTTCTATAGATGATAATGCTGAATCAACTTTGGGCTTCTTAATATCTTACCATTTTCAAGCAGGGTACGTTGGTGTCTCGCCACGTTCAGGTTGGGCCTTCCACCCTGCCAGGAGCACTGTCCGCAACATCCACGACATCCGAGTGGTGATGCTGGCAACAGCTTGCCGTAGCGGAGATCAGATGGGTTGAGGGGGGAAGCCGTCGAATGCGCATCGCGCATTCCAGCTGGACCATGTTTTTTCTTCCTCAATTGGTGCATTTCTTTGCTTCCAGCCTGGCATTTGGGCAATGGTCTGTACTCATGACGAGCTGTCAGCAAATTTGGAGAAGATGTCATTCTTTGGTTTCGCAAATTCAACACCCAAAGTCGATCATGCAAAGATCCAATTCTGCAGCACTGGAATACTGCAGAGTTCGACCAAACACTGCAGACAAACATCCAAGTATTCAACTTCCTGCCTGGGCTCTTAATACGGTTTTCTCCCCCACCCACCATGGATCCTGCGCCATCCTATCCGGTTTCTTTCTTTCAAGCTTGGACCTTGGCGAAGACTAGACCTGGTCCGATTTCAAAAAGCCCATGACAAAAATATTCAGAGTCCGACCTCGTTTTCCCTCTGACTCAAATGAATTTTCGTCCGTTTCAGGGATATTTTTTCAGAGGCTTTGCCTCTCTTCAGACCACATTTGGTTTTTTTTTCAGAGGTTTTGGTCCACGTCCCACGTCTTTCTCCACGTCTTCCCACGGGTCGACGTCCCCGTCTCTCCCCGCGCCGGACGGGCGCCTCCCGAATACTCCCTCCCCTCCGGGCGCCGCGAAGGCCGCGAGGGCGCGCGAAACGAAGAGACAAGACGGGCCGGAAATGTTTCTGCGGGGAAGTCGAAAAGATCGAGACGCGAAGATCTTTTCTTTAGATCTTAGTGGGAAGAATTTGTTCTCTAGAAACAAATTGAAAGTCTGAAATCGAGACATAGATTCGATTCACATCTTTGGGTTTGCAGCCAGACTAAGTTTTTTTGAGCGGTTTCTTTCTCGAATCGCGGCATTTTTGGGTGACTCGGGGTGTGAACGAAGATGTGCGAGCCCAAGTGGCCTTGACTTGCCACTTCTGTGAGTGGTCATTTTCGGTCTGGGCCGGTCTGACGACTGACAGATTTGCATAAAAAAGAGTCAATCCGGATGTGCAAGCTTTAGGCCACCCTGCTTGTCAGCGGAGTTGAGTTGTTGGAGCGCAGTGCCACGAAAATAGCTGGTCCTAAATCAAGCCACTGGTCCTAAACCAACCAAGTCAAGCCCTGGCTTTGACTTGAAGGGGCGTACGGTACCTGTTGAAAGGATCGGCTCCCCGTTTTGTGACCAAACCGCAGGCTGCAGGGTCTACCCGTGGTCCGCGCTGTCACACTTTCTATGGGCTCAAGCAGTTTTGATTGTAGCAAAGGAAACTGACACCATGGGGCAAGAAGCCCAATATCGAGTTTGGGTGGGTCACAGAGATTCAAAGTGTCGGGTGGTCCCAGGAGATGCCCCCCGCTTTTCTGCCTCCAAGAGCCTGCCTCAAGGCCAAAGTGAGCCATGGAGATTACGATATAATTTACGCAATCGTTATCACGGGGCAAGAAGGTGGCCATGTTAACGCGGGCCCCGTCGCTTCGAATGATACGCCAGGTCGAGGAAGCGCCTGGCCAGTGCCGGGTGGAGGCCGGACGAATCCAAGCGAACGCACCGCGGGGGACTTGTTTGGCTTGGTGGTGAAGCCGGTTGAAGAGAAGTCTTTTGGTTCAGTGCTTTTCAGACCACGCATCGGATTCTTCTCCGGTTGACGTTGCACGGGTTTGTCTCTCTTTTTCTGGTTCCTGGCCGTCTCTGTTTTGGGAAGCAGCAGTTGCAAGCGTCAAAGTAGTTGCTAATGTTTGTCGGCGTTTCCGTCGTCCGGAGTGCTTCTGCACGGAGTTTTGTTCAAACGTCATGTTCGCCTCTGGAATGCACAGCGAATCCACAGGTCATGATTAAGGTCCCTTACTTGGACATTTACTTTGTCTGGTTGGGGAGTTATAGTAATTGGAGGAATGCAAGGCAGTCTGCTGAACATGCATTTCATGCCGCATCTCAAACAGCCGTGCGCAGGTGGATTTGGACGGGGCAGTCTACAGGATGGTGCGGAACATGGTTGGCTGCATGGCCCCTGGGCTGCAAATGTCGGTCGGGGCTGTGGGAGACATGCGAGCCAAAGGTTGGCCCCCGGGGCTCAGACCTTCAGGTTGTGTTCCTTTCCGCTGTTTCCAGTTGTTTTCAGCCTAAATTCGCCGACCTCGACCTCGGATTCACTTGTCCGGGACCCTAAATCCAAATCAATCAAGGATGCGAACTTCAAAGTGGAGGTGTATTCATCCACGTTTCTTTACCCAGTGCGCAGAGGTGTACAAGTTTGCAGATGGAAATCGATTGTTGAATATCTCAAGATGTGGGTGGGTCCTCTTTCGCGACAGAGGACCGCTCGCAATCGTTGGGGTTTGCCTTTGGTTCACAACAAGAACATACACGAGGATCTTTTAAACACTCATGCTTCTTTGCACATCCCGGCCCTCCACCTAATTTGGCCTGGGGTCCACGCAACTCAGAATGAAGAGGTCTACTGTCCAGGGGCATGACATAATAAGCTGGGTTGGTCTTTGACATGTCTTTAATCACAAACGCAAGCCAGTACATGTGCTCAATCGTTTGGGTCAAACAACAAACCAACATCTTTCCAAAAGGGGGTGGACTTGGGTCTCAAGTCAGCCGTGTGGACCATGCTCTCGGAAAAACTTCCTTGGCCATCCCTGCACGCCCCCTTTAACTTTGGGGTGAGGCGATGCCAAACAGCACCAAGAATTTCCTGACTCCAAGGAGAGCTGGCGCAACATGAGGAACTCCCTTGTTAGATGCTGCATTGGGGAAAGCTAAAGCAACCCGTTGGCATGTATAATCCTCGTACTTGTTCTAAAATTTGCGGCCCACGCGTTTGTCCGTCAACTGTAGGAGGTCAATTTGGCAAGTCAGAAGTGCAGACTTTTTTGTAGCCCAATTCACTCAGTTGACCAATTCCCTTGGAAATTTTTGATTTCGCGTTGGGTCCATGGTTAATCATGGCCCCCAAAAGTTGACCTTTGACTCCTTGGTCCTTTGTCAAAGTGAGACGGGAGCGAGCTTCTGTAGCTGCAAGCAATCGATGGTTTTAGACACGGCCAGCGCAAGATGGGCGCTCGCCTCCCTGCAAATCAACATGCGTCCGCAAAAAGTTGTGCGTAACAGCTTCTGTATTCTGCCCGGGGGGCCGTTTATATTCCACAGTGGCTGCATTTTGCTGAAGTTTTGACCGAAGTTTGACCTTTCACTTTTCGGACACATGCCAACGTGTGTTTTCCCATGAACCAGCAGACGTGCTTTTCGCTCAGAGCGCAGATCCTGTTTGAGTGATGGAGGCTCTAAGGACGGACTTGGCGATTTGCCCCTTCCATGAGAGGCATGAGGCCCTCCAATTCCCAAACAGACTTAGATCAAAGCCCCTTCTTAGAAGATCCTAAGTTCCAAGAATCTGTTTTTGTTGTGGGGGGTCCCTTTGGGGTCCCTTTGGTTTTGCCACCCAACTTGTCCGAACAACCTTGCCAACCACAGACCAACTTACCGCCGGGTTCCCAAATTTCCCCTTTGGCTGGCTTGGCGCACCACCCATTGGTCTCCACTTCACGGTGAGTTCCCACCCGCGCGTCCGGAAGGTGTGGGTGGCCCGTGGCCGGATCTCCTCGGACTGCGTGGAGGAGCTGCTTTCTGGGAGCTTCTCCCAGGCGTATGGAGGAAGTTTCAGGAAGTTGAGCAGGACACAGAACCTTTTCTGCAAACCGCGAGCCCTCCAACCGCCGAAATCCATTGGTTTCCCCGGAGAAGCCCGGCTCAAAAGTTTTGGGGCCAAAAAGCTAGGGTTTGACGCTTTTGGGAAAGGCGAAATATTGGTGTGACTTTCAATCATTGGCAGCCGTTGAGGTTGCGTGTAGTCATAGAGCCCAGACCACTCGGCCAGGCGCGTGTGCCACACTTCCCCTGCCGCTCGGCTGGCTCTGACACTTTGAGTAGGGGTATTCCGACTGAGACCTGGCTTCTTGGCTTTCCCGCAAATCACGATCCTATTGGTTATAGGGTGATATAGTAGTCAAATACCTCATTTCCTATCGAGGAGATCGTGGTTTTATGGGAGTTGAACAAGCGATGCAGCGCATAATTCACATTTTGCTTCAGCAAATAGGACACTCCTTGATTTCAAACAGAGTGCAAGCGTGACAAGATCAGCGTGGCAAGTTGACGCGCAAACAGGTATCCTGAAATCGGTTGTCATTTGGCGATGCCTGCATCTCCCCACAATATCTCAATCTATCGGATTGACTTGAAAGAAACAAAATAAAGCTGAAGTTGTCCCTAGCCTTAGCTGCTAGGACAAAGACTGTTTGTGAGGCTTTCATCGAACTACAGCCTATTCGTTGGATCGCCGAGAGTCGCCGAGAGTCTAGCCAAGCCAGCAAGCCCATGATCGTTTGGAGAACGTGAGCTTCTGCTTAAGCCAGAATTCCGCAACGTAAAGGGCGTGTTAGTAAATGGGCATCCTGGTCACCAACCGATCCACACTTCACATGCCATGATTTTACCGTTCGCGAGATCAGTCCTGCAAATTTCAAACCTGAAATAAGGAACCCTCGAGTAAAGGACCCTCATCACAGTTGCCATATACACGGAAATACTCCAAAACTGCTCCCTCCCCAGCCACATTTCCTCGTCTAGACGATTCGAGTCTTTGCCCGGTGCAGTTGAGTGGTGCTCCCCACCACACACACACATGTATATATATATATATATACACATGCATACCTATATATATATATATATGAATATAAAGAGGCAGTCAGCTTAGTGGACATGAGAAACCTGAGAGCTCCCTCGGTTTTGCGGACATGTTCAGAGTCGCCCTGGTTCTAAACCGAAACATGTTCTTCCCGACTAGAGGTCAAACGCCAAACCCTCTCTGTGAAGTGGCATCCCTTGGGCAACGATACAAGAATTCGTCTTGCTCCAGGTGGTGCTTGGCAGCGCATGTTAGGCTCCTGCTTTTGCACAGCTCCAGTCATTTTGGGTCACACTCCCAACTCTCCCCAGCAGGAAGCCACTATGGGGATGGAAAGCATTTCTGGACCCTTTTGGATGGATTTGTGTTGCTTGAGCTTTCCAGACCGAATCTTTCACAAACGATAGGCCTTGAAGACATAAGTGCTCGGTTCCCTTGGGTGGTGCGCTTTGGCCAATTTCTTGCCCCGAGTTCAACTCTCGTCTTCTTTAGTTGTTCAAACGTTCAAAAAGGGCAGAAAGGGTTTGCCCCCCTTCCACCTGGACTGAAGGATCACTGGTTGCAACTGGGTCGGTCTGGGCTTGCAGGTCTCGGGCTGAAGCGAGCTCAGGTTTGCCGGGCCATGGCTTGTGTCTGGAGAAGGCGGGGAACTTGAACATGGAACCCAAAGAGGTTCTAACCCCAAAAGAGGCCAGGCTCCGACAAAAGATGATTCTGAGAGGCTCTGATGAAATTTTTGGGTGGTCATGCCAATCTGCAGGGGGCAATGTGGGCGGAATAAGTACAGAGAGCCTGGGGGCGCATATAATGAATATAAGTCTCTCTCTCTCTCTCTTTGTATTTTGTTCTTTCTTTCTTTCTTTCTTTCTTTCTTTCTTTCTTTCTTTCTTTCTTTCTTTCTTTCTTCTGGAGTTTCCAGGAACCAGCCAGGTATTCTGCCGTGCGTTGGGCTCCTCACGCCCATGTATTTGTCAATTTGGTCCTTCATGACTTCCAGGTACGACTTCGCGGGTCCAGTCCTTGTCCCAAACCTCCAGTGGCCCGGTGGCTCCTTCTCTCGTGGCCACTGGAAGTAAGTCTTGGTTTTCTCGGCAAACGCGCTTGCAGCCAGCGCCAACCTCTTGACCTTCAGGTTTCCCTTGTCCAGGTTCCAAAGAGTTGAGACAGTGGGCCCACTTTTTTCCTGATCCCGACGAGCGTGTAGGTGCACTACGACAAGCACTTCTGAGCGGCGGGGCGCATGCAAAGGACATGCAGAGCACACTGGCCCCAATCCTTTGATCAAAACATGCGCCGCTTGGATCCAGCGCAAGTTAGTTGCCCTGCGCCATTCAGAGAATGCCGAAGGTTTTACCTTCAACCTTTGAACCCGTTTTCGGGAGAATTTCCCAACTGGACATTCCTTCAGCCTTTTCGCATTTTGTTTTATTTGATTTTCACATTTTGTTTTATTTGGGGGTGTCCAACAAATTGGGAGCCCAAGCTGGTATTCCTTGAGCAAGCCAGAAGGAACACAGGGTTTCAGTCGAGGTCCCAAGAGGTGATCAGAATTATCATTATTTCCGAGTCTTTCAGAGTGAACGGTCCGCGGACGACCGTTTTGCCCTGGCATGTGCCGCGCTCCGATGTGCCGTTTCAGGTCAACCCGGTTCCTCGCTCGGTTTGTAGCGAAGGAATCGACGCAATGCCTCCGAAGAAGGCCAAAGGCGTGATCAAACCCAAGGCCAAAGCCAAGGGCAAGGCGAAAGCCAAAGCCAAGAAGGTGGACAAAGTAGGCGGGGATTCGAAGCATGGGGAACGGGAGGTTCAGGCGAAGCTTGCAGAAGGTAAGCCCGTTCCTGGATTGAAACCATGTTCCTCGAATGTTGCAATAAGCGCGCCCAGGCGCTGGAGCACATGTAAAGGTCCTGGGGAAAATCTGGGAGGACTGGCGAGTCAACAAGTGTAAGCCCGCCACAGACTAACTTGGAACCCACCAGAGGAGCCCTTGATAGGAAGTTCAAATGCTGACCTGTGGAGTTCCATGACCTGCAAGCTCACCGATCATTGCGAGGCGAGCGCCCAAGCCAGGGGTGTTTTGGGTCCCGTCCATATGCCGGCGGGGAGTATTTGGTCGGTCTGCGACCAGCGCCCCAGCGTGCCTGTGTGCCCGTGAAAGATTCTGGAGGCGCCGCAAAGCTGGACTGGCCCTCGCTGGGTTTCAACTACGTGAAGACCAAGTCCCATATCCGCCCCAGCCTCAAAGTTTCCGACGTCGGTCGCACTGAATTGTACAGTCCGTTGGTCTTTTAAGAGGGCACATGCTCATTGTTTTTGTGTTACACGCTTTTTCCGGTTGTAAAAGCGGATGCTTTCTCCAGCCATGGCCAATTGTGGTGTGCACGTAAATCTTTTTTGGGCTTCAAGGCTTTGGGAGAATCCGGGAGCTCCAGGTAAATGACCCACTGGAGAGTGTTCAACGTGCGAAGAATGTAGTGGTAGTCTGTAATATGTCAGAAATATGCGTCAAAATGGCACTTGCGGGCCATTTTGGCTCAAGTCTGGTGATGCTTGGATTGGACAAACTTTCCCTTTTCACCCTCTTTTTGATCACCAGCCATGTCCTTCTCCGACAAGGCTGAGTTGGTGGAAGTGCTTGAGGAGGAGGACTAGGAGATGGTGGAGTCTGAGGCAGACTCCATTTGTCTGCAGGAGGCGCCAAGCTGCAGGAGTGCATCTCCAACCTCAACCTCGAGAAGGAGCAGAGCACCTGGCCCTCGCACTTCGAGAGGTCTGGGTCTGAACAGCCGGCTGCGCTGGCTCCTGGCAGTTGGTGCAGGAGGAGCAGAAGGAGGAAGGAAAGCGCTCAGAGACAGAGGCGTGGGAGAACAGCGCGCAGAGAGTTGGCGGCTTCGGCCAAACTTTGTGCCCAAGATGCTTTCAAGCATTCACGCAGACCGCTGACCGAGTGTGTGAGAACGGGTTGGCCGAAGAAGGCGACAAGGTGCTGGGGTAGGCTGATACTACCAGCGCCCTGTTCTCAGCCACCTTCGACATCGAGTCATGACATATCTATCTTCGGCCTGAAGCCTGCAAAGGTTTCAAAGTCCTTGCGCCAGTGCGGGGCTCAGCGGGATCTGCGGCTTCAGGCCGTGTCTTCTTCAAGGGAGGGCTCCCCTGCCACGCCGAAGTCACAGATAGCATGACTGCAAGGCCATGGCCAAGCGGGCTGGCCGCTTGCCCATGATTCAATCATGACCTGTCAGCAGGCTTATCGCTTGAATTGGGGAGTTGCTGATCCATGCTGGCAAGAGCTCAATTGCAAAATTGTCAAACTGCTGATGGGCAGGAACCATGTCGCGTGTCAAGCGGCTGGGCAGAGTCTCAATCACAATTGACAGTTGGCTTTACAACTGATTGCGTTGACACTTGGCTTGAACTTGACAATTGGCTTGACGAGTCGCTTGACCATTGACAATTCAATGAGCAAGTGACATGTTCAAGGTTTTTTCTTGCACTCACGTTGCGAACCTTGCTACAATTGCGGCCACTTGTGCACGGATGGTCTCCGGGCTTGGCTGGGACCAGACGTCCGGACTGCCCTTGAAGTGCTCGGAAACAAAAGTCCAACACCCTGATGACCGCCTCCACTTGCTTCTCAAGGCCACTGTAGCGTTGCCAGCTGGCCGTCTTTGTTCGTTGCAAGCCAGTATCCGGGAGAGTTGTAGTTGTGAAGTCTAGCGCAAGACCTTTCTGTCAATCGGATGCCAATCCACGTACAACCCCGCAACGAAGAAAAGACGTCATTTGAATTCGTAGCTGCGTTGGGTCTCTGACCCTGCAGCTGCTGGAGCTCGGGAATGCACTGGCGCTAGGCGGTGTCTGACGATTGTGCTTGCATACCGGCGGCGCTGCTGCAGCGCCGCCTCGTCGTCGGCCGTCTCATGGTGTTGGTCTGAAGCCTCAGGTTGAGGCCTTGGGCCCGCTTCAGCATCTCCACCTCCAGGCTTGCGCTTCTGAAAAGTGCGGAGTTCCTCTTTTCGCGCCTGGGATGCGGCGCAAGCATTGTTGATTGCAGCAATTGACACAGCCGACATGAGAAGCAATTAGAGCCAGAAAGCAGCGTCAACGAAACCACAAACAAGCCAAGCTTCCTTTTTCTGAGCTTGCCATACGTTTCCACTTCAACTTCTGCTGGGTCCGGCTCATGCGGGAAATACCAACTGAGCAACGCTCGCGCCGCATGGCGCTGTTTCAAGTCGGCTTCTGCAGATGGGTGCCAAGAGAGCCATCTTCGCCCTTCAGCACGAAGCTTTGCGCAATGTCGGGCAGGTTGTAGAAGAGATCCTGCTCCTGCGGCCTGTCGGTGGAGTGAATGCCAATCTGGTGGATGTAGGATCGGTCCGTCCTCAGGAAGCAGCGGATGGCAAACTGTAATGAATAATTAACCATGTCAGGAGTCCGCAGCTTGATGGTACAGAGCCAAGAGGTTCGCTGACAATCAATGAAGGTGCTCAACGGGCTGAGTTTCAGGTCGTTTGCCACTTAGCGCTGGTCAAGCGTGATGGCTACCACAGGGAGCTCTGTCGCACCCTCCGTGCAGAAGGTGCCGATGGTAGGGAGGTAGGGAGTGAAGCTTTCCAAATAAGTGGTTGCGCACCCTGTGACAGCAGCCGGACTTGGTTGTTCAAGGCTTGCAGCCGCTTGTAGGCAGCTAGCCTTTCTTGCTCCCGTTGGGCGCAAAGGATCTCCATCTCCGGCTCAAGCTCAAAATCATCTGGCCGCGCAAGAGTCGGGGAGCTCACAACTTGGTTGGTCATGTAGCACGCCGCCTAAATCTCCGGGTTGGCAGCAATGGAAATCATGTGTCTCGTCCGGAATGCCACGCATTGTCAGTTGCCAGGAAGAGCCTTCTGACATTCATGAATGCCAAAGCAGAAAATGGTTAAGTGAACCTTTCTTGGCACCACCTTGGGAGTCTCTCCAACGAACAGTTGCCAGTTGCCGAAGTGTCACACAGGCTTGGCAGCGGCTTTTGAAGGGAGAGCAACGCGGGCTGCCCACGATCATCAGGAGGAGCTACGGGATGCCTGGGCTTTGGCTGGGACTGATTGACTGGGAGCTTAGAAAATCTGCAGCTCAGAAAGCAGAAAGTTGCTAGCTTCTTCCTGCTCACTCTGACTGTTTTGCAGCCAGCTTCTGGAAGGAATAGGCGCATCGATGCACTCACTCTGTGCCATGCGCTGTCTGCAAAACTGGAAACGCGCGTCGCGCAAGAACTTTAGAAAAGCATCGTAGGTCCTCAAGCGTGCCCCGGCATTTTGCCTCCATGCAGTCTTGTTTTGTGTCTTTCGCGCTTTGCAAAATTGGAACAGACAGAGCACTAAGTCCATCAGCACACAGAGTCTTTGCTCAATTGACGAGGGTGCATTGAAATCAATCACGGAAGCGACAAGCAAAGTGTAACAAGAAGCAATGACTTCACAATGGCCGCTTGTAAATCGGCAAGACTGGCAGGCAGGGTATTTCTATTTGTAGGATGGCCGTGTCCAGGTTGACTTATTTGGAAGCCAATGCTTGCGAGTGAATCTTCAACACATGAGTTCTACCACCCTGAAGGCCGGAGATGCTGAGCGTCAACGCGGGAATATTGGCCGCGATCTTGAGCTACACTGCTTCAGTCTTGGACACCGCAAGGTGTGAGGCACGGGCAAGGCGATCGTGTGGCAAGCCTTGCCAACCATCCGCGATGTCGCTGGCAAGCCAATGATTTTTGATGCTTTGCTGCACCGACACTGCTAGCGACTCACTGATCACATTCATTTAGATGACCTCTCATTACCCGGGGCGTCAGCCTGGTGATGATCAGGAGCAGGCTCAGCGTCAGCGCCTAGCTCAAGCCGGTCAAAGAAGGACATCCTGGAAGGAGGGCGGGAGGCTGCTAGGTTTTTGGAAAAGCAGTGTCAACACCTGCTGTCGGAGTTGGCGGGTGGGAGAGGCAAAGACGAAGAGCGTTGCGGACGCCTTCCGCTTGGTGGTCTTCCCCATCAACGCACCCGTGACCCGGATGCTCAATATTTGAGTTCAGCTCTTCCCTCAACGATGGCTGCGCGAACCAAGACAAGTGCTACAATCGCTGGCTGGGTGCTCCATCACGGGCTCCGACTGCTGAGACGGTCGGCGCTGAGGTGGTCTTCCGCCCCTTGGTGTTGTGACGGCCCATCGTGCGCAATTCGCAACTGAGACAGACAAGTGACAAATTACAACTGAATAACTGACACGGAGCCATTCATTCGGATAATGGTCGGTTGCGCCCAGTGAAGTGACACTTGAGAAATTGAGATATTTTGACAAGTGGCATATCCATTATTGTTGGGGTATGTAGCAGCACAAAAGCCAGACATGGACTTTGGTGGTAGATTCAGCGTAAAAACTCGAGGGAATTAGTTGAAGTTCTGACGAGTACTCTGTCAACATCATGAAAACATGTACAACATCTCAAACAACCCCGTGGTGCCGTATCATCCTATGGCAAAACACCCACTGCCATCATTCTGGCGACCCCAACTTGGGGTGCCATCAACGTCGAAGACCTGAAGCCAGCGTCTTCGCGATCCTTGTGTCTCTGCCACCTGCGGCCCGCCAACAGCGCTTGTCTGCGTGTGTTTTTGCAGCAGCGGCTTGCCAGCGCAGGCGGCCCGCCAAACAGCAGTTGTCAGCCGAGCAAAAGCAGAAAAAGGCGCAAGGGCGGGACACCGGGCGCGCAAACTAAACGGAGCCTTGTTCTCTATGTTTTCACTGGACTTGGACCTCCGAACCTAAAATCATACATTCTTTAATCGTGGCTTAGTTCGGGAAAGACTCCGCAAGCCCACGAACTGTTCAGGACCTTACAGTGGCGGTTTGGGCCATTGGTTTCAGAGTTTACTTCCGTACCGGCTTGTGGTGGTAATATTTTCGGGCGTTCAACTCATGTTCTGGCTTCTTAAGCAATCCAAACGGGTCCTCCAAGATATTCACTGAGGCCGCCTGCCCCTGCTCATAAGCGCCTGTGAGAATGCTAATAATTTAGACCTTAGGCGTCCAGATCGTCCACCAACCAGAGCCCGAAACATAGCCCGTCAAGCTTCCCCAGCCTTTCCCATGGTTTTTTTAGGGAAAAGCTAGGGAATATGCGTGGTCATTCAAAGAGATCAAGAAAACAATGCAGCTTTTGGTGGCTTTGACAAACACAGGAGCGCTGCAAAAGGGGAATGGTGGCATGCCGTTGAGGGGGAATCCCAGTTCAGTGGCGCCCTCCAACTCACTTTCTGTTCCCCACAAGGTGTGCCTTTGCCTACCGACGGGGAAGGTTTTGATGAACCTTTGCATGTTTGTCGGCTCGTTTCTCGCGCAGCAGAAAGAAGAACTTCTGCTTGGCTTTTCCCAAAAAGCTGGCCCATGAAGCATGCGGCAAGCGCAGATCGTTCTTTGTCAACTTCCCAACTTTCTACCCGGGTCGCGCACCCAGCAAAGTTAGAGCCAGGAGTTTTTAACAGTGCTAACTTAGTCCCAAGCAGGTAGCACGTTCTTTGGAGCCCCCGTTTATCAAGTTGGGCAACACAAAGTGAGTTTGATCACCATTGAACACCGGCCCAGTAAAACTCTTAGCAGTTATTTATTCTTTTCTTTCCTTTTGTATTTCCTTTTTTCTTTCTTTCTTTCTTTGTTTCTTTCTTCTTCTTTGTTTGTTTTTGACGGTGCCTTTTTTTGGGCGGGATCCAAGTTTGATTGAATCCCACTGACATTCTGGGTTTGTCCGGCCCCGCTTCCCAGGTTTCGCCCGGCCTGCGCGCTTGAGTCGAAGAGGGGAAGTTGGAGATGAAAAGAATCCTGGAGCCTACTCTGGGATCAAATTGTCCTCTGTTACACCTGTCTTATTCCGGGGAACTAGGGTCTGTGAGGCCCGAGGCCGTCAACTCCCATTCGCGCCCCAAAGGTGAAAATTAGATTGGTATCCATGCCTGAGTTTGTATTTCTCCCAAGCTTGTTTGTTGAGGTGTTTGTTTAAACTTTTAGAAGAGGAACACGTGGGTCCCTGATAATGTTCGGAGTACTCCCCTGTATAGTGCGTGTGTTGGCAGGAAATACGGGGAACTCTGTCAGCCGGATGTGGTCAAGGAGCGAGTTTCTCCGCCAAAAGACGAGGTTGCAGCCCAAGATATCAAAGGTCGTGTCCCCGTTTCTGTTCTATTCTGGGGGTTCCAAACCCCATGACCATGCCAGGTATACAAGGATGGCAAGTGGAGCAAGGGCAAGCTGTACACAGACCCGTGCGTGCCTCAGCTCCACAGACCAATGAACCCACGGCAGAAATTTAGCATTTGCCCAGCTCCAACTTTTCGCAGGGACAACTGCCAAGTTGTTTTTTGTCTTGGGGCGGGGGCTTAGAAACCGGAGAGTTCCGGAGTGGAAGGCCGGTGGAAGCCAGGTTCATGCCTGTGCACATGCTGGCCAACGTCTTCCACTATGGGCAAGCCCTCTTCGAAGGCTTCAAAGGCGAGTTGGGTCAGTAGGACGCGTCAGAACAGGAGCGGGGTTGCCCCCCTTTCGAAAGGCGCTGGTTCTGCTGTTGCCTCTGAACCACCGCCAGAAAGGGAACGCTGAAAACCCCCCCCCCCCCACACACACACACACACACACACACACACACACACACACACACACACACACACACACACACACACACACACACACACACACACACACACACACACACACACACACACACACACACACACACACACACACACACACACACACACACACACACACACACACACACACACACACACACACACACACACACACACACACACACACACACACACACACACACACACACACACACACACACACACACACACACACACACACACACACACACACACACACACACACACACACACACACACACACACACACACACACACACACACACACACACACACACACACACACACACACACACACACACACACACACACACACACACACACACACACACACACACACACACACACACACACACACACACACACACACACACACACACACACACACACACACACACACACACACACACACACACACACACACACACACACACACACACACACACACACACACACACACACACACACACACACACACACACACACACACACACACACACACACACACACACACACACACACACACACACACACACACACACACACACACACACACACACACACACACACACACACACACACACACACACACACACACACACACACACACACACACACACACACACACACACACACACACACACACACACACACACACACACAGACACACACAGACACACACACACACACAGACACACATCGATTCCTGAGCAGCTTCGGCCAATTTTGCTCAACGTTACCATCTTACTACTTGACCTTGACTAAAATGATGGTAGAAAAGACTCAAGTGCTTGTGGGGTTCAAATGCTTGAACACTGACCCATTGGTGAGGTGTCCGTTTCCGTTCCCGACCTGTTCTGTTGGTAGGTGTTGTAGGTGTTGGAAGCGATTTGCGGTTTGATTTAGATGACAAATGGCCGGGTCAAGGGCAAACCAAACGGTTTGGTCGGGTGTTGGCTAGGGAACGATCGCTACGCAGGAAATGGATGTTCATTTGGCCTCAACCAACGAGACACTGTGCCAGTTTGTTTCCGTTTCCCATCCTGTAGATCTTGTGTGTGTGTGTGTCTTAGATATGGTGGCTTGCCCAGAAATTGCAGCCAACATGGCGATCTATATTGCAACCAAATTGGGAGAGGGAGTGCCGTCGATTTTTGAAATGACCGCCATGCAGAACATCTTAGGACTGAAACCCCAGGACCAAATCCCACCTGGTGTACAACAACTGGATGTTCAACCCCGCTTGGTAGATGAGAACCATGGTTATGACCTGGGTTCTCTTGATCAACACGGTTAGGGCCTGACGTGCGTTGAACATCCAAGTTAAACCTTTGACCCTTTGAGGACTTCCCCGCAACTTGTTTCGCCCACGAGGCTTTCACACCAAGGAGGGCGATGTGTGCCTCTTCGCGGACAAGTTGCCACAGACTCAGCGTGGTCCGGGCCGTTTGGCACATGATGAAACGTATTCCCACACTTTTCCCTGGCAGTGGTCAAACAACATATCTGATCGTTTGAGAATCCTGCAGGCAAGTGGCGCTTGGAAGAATGAGCCTCCATATATGAGCTCATGGAGCCTAAAAACATGTAAAACCAATACGTTTTTCAGGGCTCAGGCTCTTGGAAAGTGGGAGGGTGCTTGAGACACATATCAGTTGCCAGAACAACCAGGTCCTTTCAAATATTATTCTATGCTAAACCATTGGGGGCGTTTAGCAGAGCTTACATCGCTCCCCTTGCTGCGGCCCATATTCGACTTCAAATGGCTTCCACCGCCCACAGGGTGTAAAGGTCATTTAGAGAAACCAGTTTTGCCTGGCGCACTGGGTAATTCAACATTTTAGATCCAAAATTCGACTGCCTTCCCAGAGTTTTGCATTGAATGCCGGCTGTAGCATCGCCGGCAAGCTTCAGCCGCTCAAACTTTCTTCGAGCACTCGAAACAATGCAACACGAAGGTTCTAATGACATGTTTTCGCTTGAGACGTCCCAGGCTGGGCCATTTTGAAGTGCGAATCCAAACATTGTGCGGCGGATATGCAAGATATGGCACGTCAGATTTTTCGGTTGCCGAGGAGCCTGGGGCGCATGAACCACGGATGCCGGCGCTTCATGATGCCGGAGGCCAGATTTGTTGCGGGCAAACTCCTGTATTCGGGATTCCCGAAAACCGGTTCATCCCCAACGATATGCAAGAAACAGATTCAAGCAACAAGTGTCGAAGCAGCGGTCGACGTTTGACGGTTGCTTCCAAGGGCTCGCTGCGCGGCCCGGTTCGTAGGAGGTTGAGCTTGGGCGCAGCTCCGAAAGCTGACTTGCGGCTTGTGTTGACAGGGCGCCAGGCGCCGCTCAGAGTCAGATGGTGCTGTGAAATGACTATGCCATGAACAAGTGGTGTTGAAGCCCAGCCAACCTGGCTGTGCCGGAAGTGTAAATCTCAGCTGTGCGAGTGCTGAGCTTTGCGGGGCCAAGCCAAGCACCTATCGAAGCTGAGGCCCATTTGAGAGCCTGTCTCAGATAACTGGGGCACCCTCTTTGGCAGTTCGACCGAATAGTTGCAGAACCACTTGGGCAATTGCGCCGCGCTTTTAGATCTGCAGCTCTCGCGGAACCTCGCGGAACCTTAGTGCAAAACTTCAATGGCATCAGGAGGAGCGTCATGTTGCCTTGACTTGAGCCTCTGCGCAGAACTTCGTGGCAAGTTTGCAGCTTGAGACTGCTGCTGCGGCTGGACTACATAGTGTTGCTGCCGGCTTGTGCGTGTGCTCACGTCTTCGGCTGCATCTTCCCAGCCCTGCGCTGCCAAGTCTGTGGCACACTATGCTTGCTTGGTGTAGAATTTGCTTCAAGAGTGGTTGCTTTTCGAGCTACTAGGAAAGATGTTGCACTTGGGACAAGAGTCGTGAGAAACCTGAATATTGAACGTAGCCCTTGCTGGATACGTATAGGCTGCTGTTCCGTTTCAGATGCCCGCAAACATCATGCGCAGTTGCTGAGAGGGCGGCCTGAACACGCTTTTGGGCAAACAACCTTGCAAGAGGGTCTGCAGCCTCACCCATGAAGGCTCCTTTCATAGGGAATCTTGATTCCGAGCCCGGGAATGTTCATGATTCGTTCAGATACGTCCTGTTCGATCTGCATTGGGCCAATGAAGGAATGGGCAACACCGCAAGGTGGGACAAATTGGTGTATGATGTATCAAGGTATGTACACCATTTCAAGGACCTGTGGGAAATCAGAACCCCTAGCAGAGGGTTTCTTCAAGACCTTGCCTCCGGGGTTTTCGTTCATTTGACCCCCTTTTTGAGGCCTAGGGACCCCTTGAAAGCTGTGGACATCCGCTTGAATGGTGTTCAGGATTTCCTACTTAGTCACGCGAGCTCGTTTCAGTTGGCAAGTGCTGCAAGCCATGGTGTACCCGTACTCTACCAGCCACATCTGCCCTAAGGGGTTGCCCTTGGCTCCTAGGCCAATGCCTTCGTTCATGGATTCGTAGTTGACAAGGCTGCCCAATCAGCCTTTGACCACTCCAGGGTTTCCCTTTTGGGCCCAATGGCCCAGGTGCCCGTGGAAATCTGGGATGAGGCAGTCCAGATTGTCGCGATGAGCTCAGATGTTTACAACCTGCGAAGTAGCCCACTGCCAGTGGGTGTTGGGGCGTTCAGGGTACATCCTCACCCACCGAGGCTTAGGGAAGACCAGGCGGCGCATTGCCATTTCCCCTGGGTGGGATACGGACCCGACCATGTTGTGGCTTTCCAGTTTGGGGCAACCGTTTTCTGAGGTCAGAAAGATTGCGCATCGTTACCAGCCAGGGATAACCTTTGAATAACCAGGTGCTTTGGTTGGGCCTCCCACGGCTTCAGGCTTCAAGCAGGTGTGCTCACCGACTGAAGGAAACGAAGGAAGCGTGGTGGGAAACGGCTCACTTCTTTGATCTTCACTCCTTCGTGAGCAACCCTGTATGCGGGTGCCTTTTGCCTGGTTTTGAGAAGCAAGTGCAAGCAACCCGAGGTTCATATGTCCTCTTTCAGCTCACACTGCCAGGGGTTACGTTTTTAAACCCTGCCATGGTTTTTTTTGTTCGGCCTGTTGTGAGAGAGCCATGGGCTGGGTTCTTCGACATCCGTGTCACTCTGCCAGATGGTCTTGACTTTCCTTGTGTGCCACTAGACTGGGATTGCGGCCATGTGATCTAATGCCCCGTTTCGGGGCTATGGAGAGCTCTGCTGCGACCAGGGTTCCTCAACTTGCACACTCAGGAACGGATAGTGGACTCTCTGCGGGAAGTGTGGTTGCCGCGGAGCTTGCCTTTGCGTTTTCCCCAAACCTTCACCCTGAAAGCCCGAAACCTGCACCCTGCACCTAAACCCTCAAAACTCTAAAGCTAAGCCCTGAAGAAAAAACAAACCTCAGCCCTAGACCTGAATACTAAGGGTTGCATGAGCAGGCCTCGCAGTTGAGCTGGCACCACGATTTGGGGCGGATTGTATGATGATGGCCCCACATGAGCAACGCAGTTTCCCAAAGGTCAAGGACAACGCGAAGTACGTCCCTCCTTACGGTGCTCGGGCCAAGAGCGGCGCTTTTGAGTGAGCGACTGAATGCCTTTTGGAGGGGATCTGGAATCTTCGCCACAGATAGATCCTGATTTTGCGGCCCCCAACCTGATTTCGGGGCCCAGAAGTCAAAAGACAAAGCGGGAAAAGCAGGTCTGGGGGGCAGGTTGGGAACAACAAGGTCCCTCTCCCATTGTCCAGGCGGCCGGGGTGGTTGGACCCTCAACCGTCAGTTACTTGAGTTGGTTGTGTTTTGCTGTGAAGACTGTGTCGCACAGGGGGCAATCGCCCCGCACGAAAATTGGTTGCGCCCTCTCCGGGGCTGTTTCAAGGGTAAGATGCTTCCATCGGATTGCAACCGTTTTTCACAGTTCTACCACGCGGTAGGGGCGTGGGAGTTGTAGAAAGTGCCCGCGTTCCTTTTCCTTTGAACTCTCAATCCGCCGCACAAGTGTGCAGAATCTCTCTTCTGGACCATTCGCCCACTTTCAGAAACTTCCAGACTCAAAACTTAAAACCAATTCCCAGATTGAGATTCCCACCGATTTCCCCAAACAGTTCCCCGATTTCCCCCATCGCTCAAAACCAAAAGCCCCCCCAGGCGTCTCGTTTTCCCCCCTGCGATGTGGCGGTTGCCGTGGATGCCGCGGCTTTTCCATTTCCATGGCTATGGGTAACCGAGCCATGGAAGCTGTTGAAAAACATCACATGTTTTTCTCCGGTGGAAGCTGCGGTTTTGAGGGAAAACACTTTTTTTGTTTTTGTTGCTTTCCCAAGAAAGGAATGTATGGATGAAATGGATGGGTGTTTCTTGGGGTCACTGTTCCATTTCTTGGGGGGCCCTTGCGCATATATATATATATATATATATACAAAAACACGAGGCCAGTTGTTTTTAGATTTTAAGCAAAAGTCAAGAACGTTTGCTCGTGGGGATTTTTTGGCAGCCATAGTGCAACAACTTCTCACCATCAAAAGCAACAGTCGTTGATCGAAATGACACTAACACGGTCCCCGAAACGGTGCTATTGGCCCTTCTGGGAAAGGCGTTGGCCCAGCCACCTGAAGGGAATTTTGCAGGTGACAAAGTCCAAGGAAATCAACCATCTTCCAATCTTTCCTGGTAGCGACCCCTCCCAAATTCAATGTTTTTCATTGCGAGTTTTTGATGTCGGAGGTTTTTTTCTGGTTGCCAGGCAGCGGCGGGGCGCTCTATGTGCGGCCCTTCATTTTTGGCAGCGGTCCAAAGCCCCTTGCCCGGATCTGCCGGGGAGTTTAGAAGCCGGAGTTTTGGTCAGAGGTGAAACGGGCTGGGGTAAGCAAACAAAGGGGTTCTTTCATGAAGATGGTCTTTTAAGTGTTCGAATCGTCCCATGTTTTGCAGATGAACGCGTTGCACTAGCATGCGAGTCTGAGTCGATTGGCATTCAAAAGTGACATCGGATTCTCAAATATGAATCCAGGGTCCTTTTTAGTTGTGATTTTAAGTGTCATGTTGTGGACCGATGTTCAGTTTGTCGATGAATTCGGTGATGCTCAAAGGGGAACATCAGGAGAGTTGACTCCCTGAATTACTGCAAAGGAGCAAAGGAACCCCTGCAATGATGGATTTTGCTCCCACTGTGACAGTCGAGCCTTTCAAAGGCTAAAGCACGCCGGGCGGGGCTCCCCTATCAGCCATGCAGAAACTCAGATCCATTCGGACACCAGGCGGCTGAATGTCTGAATCAAACACCCCTGGTATGAACGCCTCGTTTGATCAATCAACCGTGCACTGCTTCGTCGTGACCACTTCAGGCAGGGCGCAAAATGGCCGCGGTTTGCACGTGAACATCAGGCAGCGGCCTTTGACATATGGGCCTGCAAAATGGCTTCGGTTTTCCATTCATCTCCCTTTAATACCACAAAAAAGCCACCCCCATGTTTTCCACCCCCCATAAGGGCTCAATTCGCAGCGCAAGATTTGGCGCCCAAATCGGGCGCATGCGCCCACGACACCCAGCGCCGGAACAGTACGGAGCCGTTGGCCCGGTATGGTCATCCGCCTGGTAGTAACGCTGACCCCTGAGCAATAAACCTCCTCCACTTAGCAAGGGGGTTCCCATTTTAGTGGCGAATCCTTTCTTCCAGGCGGGCGCCTGATTAATTAGTTTGGGGGGCGTTATGAATCAGGGCTCAAGATGAACCAGTTTCGTGATTCATGTTGAGGGAACCATGGCCACAGGCCATGGTGATTTGTGATGTTCCCAGATGGGTTCAAAGGATCGTGGCCATGACGCATGACTGGACTGTACCCAAGCCGGCCCAAGTGCAAGGTCCTTTTTGCTCAATTTTTCTGCCTTCCGCTGTCCACCCAGACCAAAAGCACTTGTAAGTCTAAGATAGTGTAAACGAAGAATGAGTTTGGCAAGCCTCAGCTCGACCATCTACGTTTTGCGTACCGCTGGCTCAACCTGAAAAGTGCAGAGGTCGGTGCCGTGATGTCCAGAACACTCTTCGCCCCAACAGAGAAACGGCATCTGTCGTATGGCCCGAGGTTAGGCCTCGGGCCCTCGGAGGAGTACACCTTTGTGGTCTTCGCGAATCCTGCGCCTGGGCGATTGAGCTGAAATCAGCTCACCGATCCAGGGTAAAACGAGCTCACCCAAGGTTCCTTATGTTGGGATTTCTTACATCAGGTGTGGGAATGATGGTCAATTGCCAACATATTCTCTGGTGGAGTTTTTTGAAGGGGGATTTCCGCGAACGAAGTTTCACGTTGTTGTTTCGAGCACTATGAGGCTTGCATGATCAAGGGCCATGCTTTGCCCGCTTGACCCTGATCGTCGGGAGATCCTTTCGGCGCACTGCCACTATTTGGTCCCCTTGGCAGCCAACCCTCCGTGTTGAACAGCCCAGCCTGCAACACTGCCAATCCCCTTCAGACCGAACCCATGCAGAAGTTATGACATTTGCGCTTACTTTGGAGTGTCGCTCGTTGCATTGCTCAAACCCAGCCAGCGGGTGAAGAGTTGAGGTGGGCAGCTACTACAAAGCTGCGGAGGGCATGCAGGCAGTTGGTGCAGGGTTGTCTTATTTAGCATGAGCAGACAACAGGGTGGGAGAACAAAACAACATATGGGGGGGGGGGGGGGGTAAGAGGGAAGAGTATGTATAATTTGCTGAGGACAAGGCTTGTACCTTTGCCAGGGCATGAACATCACAGTCCTTGAGTAGTGAGCAGCTCTTGTTGCAAGTAGAATCATCCTGAGGGACTGGCTTTACAATACTTGCAGATTCATTTCTTAAAGCAAAGCTTGTAACTCTGGATTACAAAAGTAAAAGAACAATACAAGTTGTAATTTGTAGATTTTGAGAAACATAATCCATAATTACAATTTTTACAAGCTTTTCAACGAGCTCTGCAACATCGAGATGATGCTGTTCAAGAGGGCTTGCAGGGCAAGGGCATGACGCGCGCGCAAGCGCAGCACTACATCTTGTCCATCGCGCGAGCTCTTCGATGGTGTAACAAGTCTATGCCACCAATGACCAGGCAGACAATTGGCATACCGTGGAACTCGTATGTCTTTGACTTCGGAAGGAACAACCATCCAGGAGCTCCCTGCATGTGCTCAGTTTACATGGCTAGAGCAATGTCATTCTTATGATCGTGGTCGGCAGACACTTCTGTCACATCCTTGATGGGCCGCTCTGCTCACGCGTCTCGGCTGCGCAGCGGGCGTGCTTTCTCGAATGTGGTCTTGTCATTAGCGTGCTGTTGTGCCACCGTTTATGGCGTGCCAGGAATTAACCCGGACAGCGCGATAAGACTGATGATGTCAGGCTTGAGGTTGCCGCGCAGAGTAAGCCAAGAATATGCCGGAAGAGATCGTCCAGCGGCTCCAGAAGTTCTCGGCAGACTTTTTGGGGCAAGTTGAAGTGTGTTGAATTGGTGTCGGCCGTCGCGGTCCACGTGTGAGTGGACCCACGCTGCAGTAATATCATTCCACATAGGGTTCATGAATGTGGTTGCCAGAATCTGAACACGTCAGGCACAGGGCAGAGCCATCAGTGGCCCTTTCCGGTCTGGCAAGGGCCCGCTTGCCACCACCCCAATGTCAGCCTTGAAATGGGCAGAAGGCAATCGGAGAGGACCATCCTCATTTTACAAGGCATGAATGCGACATGTTTTGAAATGTCACGGTACTCATTGGGACCGGTTTTATATAGTCTTGCGTATGACAGTTGAAGCAATGTGCCAACAGCAACATGGGGGTTCGAGGGTCTTCAGGCCGCGTCAGGCCGGACGGTCGCCTTGCCCGAGCCAGGGGGTCGAAGCTCTGGTCACTGACCACTATGACCGGGCAGCGCCCCTCGGGTGCGCCGGGCACGAGATCGAGCGGTTTGCTTCTCCAAAAGATCCACCTGGTATTGTAATGCCGTCGGGCATGATATGTCAGCCACTAGAATACCAGTGAATCGTTATCGGTATGTGAAGATTTTAGGTTGCAGTGGCATCACAGAAGTGGTTGCAATTCCCGCCACACTAATGCAAAGGGATTGCCATGTGAGGTGGAACCGTTTACTCCATATGTTGTGGAACGTTACCCTCATATTTTTTCGGTCGGTTGGAAAGGGACATTTGGACATGTTGGCCATCATTCGTCCTAAAAGTTCACAAAAAGGGTGAAGTGTGGAAGACTTGCCTCTCGGAGTTGGGGCAAATTTAAGTGTGGAATTCGAAATGGGGTTGTCGATCATGTTAAAAAGTGAATACTCGGGCTAAACCCAGAGTTTCTCAATGGCAGGCGAAGACTGAGCCCATAGCTGTTGTTGCCATTGCCTCAAGCTGCCAGCAACGTGCAGCCCAAATCATGCCTTTCTACTTTGCCCCCTCCCCAGTATGTTGTTCACCCCCCATTTGTTTTGGGTACCTCGGGGCACACTCAGGGGTAAACTTGTCGAACTTTCAGGTAAAATCACTAGGGCACAGCACAGGTGGCGCTTCGGCTATAGGCTACGGGCAAAGTGTGTGTGTGTGTGTGCTCGCGTGAGCAGCTGCAGTGATTGTCCAGCGATTTTGCTGTGGTTTGCACCTTCACATCCCATGAAATTTCAGTGAAAGTCCAATGAGATTCCGATTTCCCCCTGCCACTCCAAACCAGCTTCAGTTCAATTCCAATGAAAGTTCAATGAATTTCAATGAACTTGCACTTCTTGAGCGCATCATATCAGAACCTCCAAATGGAGCATATGGCACCACATGTCCAGCTTTGTTCACTGAATCAATATGTTGATTAAGAAAGGAATGTCATTGGATGTTCGTTGGGTTTTCACTTGATCATCAACCCCTCAATCAAACTGACGAGACCCCATGTATAGCTGCTTTATGAAACAATTGGGTAGGCTTAGGGTAGATTGAGAGTCAATGCATCAAACATGTTGGCGTGAGGTCGCGAAGGGCTTTCATTATAGCTGACGCCGGTCCCCCTGCTCCAAATGCCTCATTCTTTTGGGGAGGAATGAGAGGCATTCACCATGCCAAAACCTGGATTTTCAAAAAAACAAACAAACAAACCTTGTGAGCAGCCAGGCAAGCTGAGAACACATGAACAAGAAAAGAGAGGCTTTCGGACGGCCAAGTTGTCGCCAGGTGCGGAGACTGCAAGGCGGCGGGAAACTACGCGGCAGACCTGGAGAGCATGTACGAAGCCAAAAAGCCGGGCAGCACAGTCGCAGTCTTTTTTTGGGGCCTTTTTGAGTTTCTCCTGCCAATTTTGCCGGGGAGTAAGATGAAACGGAGCTGCTGAAACACTGGAAGCTTCAGGAAGGATGTGGACACCAACATTTGGAATTCGTGATTTTATTTTCCTTGGTGTCGAAGGGAAATACTGATAACCCATCGGTGTCTCTTTAACAACACCCAGAGATCCTTTCACAAGTGTTGTTTGCTATGTCCCCCAGGGCTGGGGAATGTAAAACATGTTTTTCCCCAGCCCCCCTGTTTCACCCGGGCAAGATATGCCAGAGGTCACATCCGCGCCTCCCGTCCCACCTCAGGAAGGGCTTCCCCATCTCCCTGTACCTGGACGCAAAGGAGCGGAGGTATGTGGAGGAGTTCAATACCTCCAACTTCGTGGGCATCACAAAGGACCGACCGCGACCGGGGGTGGAAGACAATGTTCCCGGCTGGTTCCGCGTTGGCCGGCAATACTAAGGAAGGAGGCTCCGAGAAGGTCCTACACACCGAAATGAAGGGCGCCCCGCAGAAGGTTTTGGTTGGGACCATCCCCAATCAACCAGTATTCGTTAGTCAAGCAAACCCAAAAAGGTAACGTGTTCGGTGCAGAGGACGGCAAGTACATAACCCCGGATGCCGCCCGCAGCGTGCTTAACAGCAACACCAACAAGGTGGGGCTCAGGAGATTTCGCGATTCGCAACTACTTGGCTGCCTCGGCTTGCTCATCCAGGGTGCCATAAATCTGGTCCCCCCCTTTTTAGGGACTTGATCACCTCAGTTGTGGCCAATTCTATACAACAATCATGGAGAATGGAGAGGCGTCTGGGCAAGTGTTGCAGGTTCTTTTTGAGATTAAGTGAAAGGCTGGCCCTGCAGAAGCTGGTGCCAATCATGAAACGCGGTTCCGGAACGGACGGTTTTGCGGTGCTCTCCAAATCCGGCGTGGATTTGGCCCTCGCGGAGCACCGAGCCGCTCGGGCCCTGGGCGACTGCCCCGTCGAACAGCTGCGGGGTCCAGGGCCCCTGAAGGTGACACTTCCGTCCCACACCGCGAACCGCCGTGTCGGGTCTTGCCAAATGCTCTGAAAGGGGGGGTTCGATGCAAAATCGGATCTTCAAGAAGAACAAGTGGTTAGTTGTTTTTGTTCTTCTTCCTTTTTTTTTGTGTGTGTGTGTGTTAAACAAGAGTCGTTTTCCATTTCTCATCAGGGCCCCTGCCTAGCAGATCGCGCCAGCAAGATAATGGGTTGGTGCCGTGCTTTTGTTACCCACCCCATAAAAATGGTTTGGGGGTGGGTTGAGTCCCCAAAAGCTTCTACAGATGTGGTCGATGCCGGATCATGAATCAGGGGTTGGGGCAGCTTTTCAAGGGTTAAAGGAGGATTCGGGGGATCCCATGTTTGAAAGAGGTTTGTTGGAATCCTGATATTTTTCTCGGGTGTTTCACAGAAATCCCACATGGAATCTTTTTTTCTCGGGGAAATCCTTTGAACCGATTTGAGGGGGTCCAATGCCTAAAAGACGAACAATCCACTTGAAGTGGTGATTTCTTTTGGCTGGACATTGGACTGTGTGTTGTTGTTGAAGGCACAGATGTGAATCAATTTGCCTTCTGCGTGTGGTGATCCTCACTTCTCCGAAGCCAGGCCCACACAACATGCTCAGTATCAATCCCCCGCACAGACAAGGTCGCAAGAACCTCAGCGAACAGCAAGGCTGCCAGTCTCAGTCCAATGTTGCCACCAAGCTTGGCTCTAAGTCGTACAACCGGAGACTCATCAAGGTGGGAGTTGTCCTTGCTTTTCTTGGAGCGATCCCAAAAGTGTGCGATCAGTTTAAGACAGACCCATTTGGGCAAAGCGAGCTCTACGGTGTGCGAACATTCACATATCTTTGTTTCCCCGAACGCTAAAACCAAGGGGGATGGATCATTTTATCAAGGCCTTTTTTGGCACCCAGTCTACACACCCCCGTTTGGAACATGTCTAACCAGTGTTTCGGAGCACTTCCTTTGGCCCTAAGTGAAACAAGGATCTCGTCTGCCAGGACCCCCTCGCTTGCTGTCACTCGGCAGGTGCTGACTCAGCTGGCTGCTGACATGGGCATCACCGTGGAGCGTGTGCCTTAGCGAGCCCAAACTGGCCGCATGTTCAGTTCCTATGGCTGTGTGTCAACATAGGGGACCACAAAATGGTGGTTTATGACTTCATTGCCCCCAAACATGTTGTGTCTGCTTTTAGGAGGGAACACCCCTTGAACAAGCGAGACATTCCATGGATAAAGTATATGAACTGGGTCCGTTCTGAGGCGGCGGCGTATCGATTTTGCAGCTGAGGCTGGGGTGCTTGGGTTCTAAGGGGCAACTGACGACCTCCATGGCCTTCAAGAGGATCAGATGTCGGGGGTAAGGCCGACAGCTGCTCACACCATGCGCTCTCTGATTCAGCCCTGTTCCAGAATTCAGATTGAGTGTGAGGCCCGAAAAGAAGCAGAACTCTTTAAGCATGTGGGAGGTTCAGAGTCCCGAAAACCCACTTTGGCTGTTGCCTCCCTGAGAACGGCAGGTGGACACCTTCACGGAGGTGGGTGCGGTGGGCACGGCGGTGGTGGTGACCCCCATCAAGCGCGGCGCCCGGTTGAGATCGAAAGGCCAGGGGCACGGCATGGCTGTGTTTCGGTGAGGCAAAAAGGGAAAAGCGAAAAGCAAAAGCACACCCTTAGTGGACTTTCAAACTGGGATGTGTCCAAGGTCGAAAAGCAAGCGGCGAGTTTGACAGTTCAAATCCCCTGGACAGAAAAAAACACATGTGACTCAAGCAGGGGCGTTCTGTTTACTGGTTTCCTTTTGGCTCTTATCATTTGCCAGTGCCACCTATTTGTCCCTGACCCGAACCTCGGAACGGAAGGTTCTTGGCGGTAGCGGGCTTTGGAACGAAACGGTTGAGCAAAGAAACCTGGGGGTGCATTTCCTTTGAAAGGAAACAATGTGTGTTTGTGTCTTGTTTACTGGAGGCAAGGGTTCGCGGTTTTTGAAATTCCGGTTGTGAGGGGGCAGAGAGCTGTTGGGAGGAGCCTCCATACTTGTGTTTGCTTCCGTAGAAAAAACATCCAAAAAGCTGTTTTATTAGCTTCAAACAAATAGCAAATTATCTTAGGCTTGGAGGCATATCAGATGGCTGAATTCGAGCCACCAGAGGGCAACCAGTTATAAAGATGCGTATTTGTAGTTTACAAGGCGTAGAGTGAAGGTAGTTCGTGGGGGTGTGACCATTCACGCGTTTAAATTGTTGCACGCATACAGACGTGCCGTATAACATAGTGATGATGAAGAACATGATGACGGCAAAAATAACAAAAAGGGGACGACGATGATCATGATCATGATAAAAGGGGACGACGATGATCATGATCATGATAAAAGGGGACGACGATGATCATGATCATGATGATGATGACGATGATGATGACGATGATGATGACGATGATGACGACGATGATGATGATGATGAGGATGAGGATGATGATGATGATGATGATGATGATGATGATGATGATGATGATGATGATGAGGATGATGATGATGATGATGATGATGATGATGATGATGATGATGATGATGATGATGATGATGATGGTATACTTCGGTTTTGGACTTCTGGTAGTCCCCACATGTATGTATTTATGGTGTGTACATAGACGTATATATATATATATATATACATATGTATGGTTCCCTTCCCCAAGCACACACATATATATATATACACCTGCTCACTTACGTTTTAGAACCGTTTGTGGCCGGGTTTGCGCGTTTGCCCTAGGTCGCTAACCCGTGGAGACCAGGTGTGGAACTTTGGCCAGCCAGAGGCTGGAGGGACGGAAAGGAGGGGGAACAACACCGTCACGTGAATCGTTCATCCGTGTTCATGGTTGCGAACGCGGAATTGAGAGCCTCATTGTCGTGAACGTTTGTCTCAAAGCAGGGGAATCCCACAGATTGGTGGTAGCAACACCAGGAAGGGTATCGTGTCATGCCAGCATGTGTCACTTGGACAGTGCCCAAAGCACTGAATGATAGGGAAGTTTGCAGGAGGCTTTACTACCTGGCTCAATGAGGTACAGTAGGGCCTGCACACACCTTGACAAGTTTACAAACGTTGTGAGGCGCTGACCCTGCAGGGGAATCCTACGTAAACTAGTTCTTGATCAAGGGTGCGCGCACGTTTCGCGCGCGCCGACGGATGGAGTGAGACGAAGCCGCCGGGCGTCGACCAATTTCGTTTGCGATGTTAGAGGCTGGAGGAGTTGGATGTTAGAGAAGATAGGGGTTGGAGTTCAAGGTTAGAGAAAAACGACGTCGCAGTGAAAGAGTTCGAGGCCAGCAACAGGTTAGAGGAGTTAGAGGTTAGAGTTAGAGCTTAGACTGAAGACCTTTTTTTGACTAGAACGCTGGGGATGCTGGAGGCATCGACCAATTCAGGCTACAAATCCACGGAAACCAGTGCAGGGGGTGTCAGCCATGTCTGACATCAACGTGCAAGGAGTAGACTAAAGAAGCTGGTCGCTGGTGACGCTCGCGTTGACCAATTTGGCTTGCGAGGTTAGAGGGAGGCTCGCGTGGTGAAAGCCGGCCCACTTCGGAAGCTGCCTGTGTTGGTTTCCTCCTCAATGGTCACAATGGGTGAGCAAAAAGGCAAGGGGGCCCTTCTGGCTCGCCAGGTTCTCAAGAAGCTCCATGACAAGCCGCGCCGGCACAGTTCTTTTGGTATCTCAGGGAGTCACGGGCAGAGGAACCCGGTCATTCAGTGGCACCTTCCGGGGCTCTTGTTGCGTGGTGGGTTTCCCGCTTCCAAACTTCTTTCTAAGGCACTGTCGAATTTTGGAACCCTCCACAAGGACCCAAGGTTTCTATCTATGGGAACCCTTCGTTCCAACTTCACCTTAAAACACAGCTCCGGCCATAAACCGCTCCAAAACCAACCCTAAACTAAACTGGCCTCAACCAGCCAAGCAACAACGAGAGTGCCTGGGGGTTTGCACAGCTACCGCAGGGTCCGGGCCATCCAGCAGGGCGAGGAGGAAGATCCGCCGGGGCCCCCAAAAGCCACAAGGGCGCACCAAAACGGGGGCCAGGGCTTCGGAAAGCGACACGGGTCGGTGGGGTCCGCTTGGTGATGCTTGGTGTCCATTTTGACTTCCTCACAGAACAGGTTCCCCTCGAAGAGAGACACGGTACGTTTCTTTGATTTGAAGCTGCCGAAAGTTTCAAGGGGAGACCTGTTCTGACTTTGATGACCCTTGAACGCATCTATAATTGTTAGTTCGCCTCAAACCTAAGCAGAAACTCCCTCAAACGGCACAGGTGCTTTTTAGGGCCCCGGCCCCAGCCCGCCATCGCCTGGCCATGTAAAGACTTGAAGGAACCAGCACCGCTCTTGGACTTCCTGTCTATTTGCGGGCCCTCGCAGGCAACCAGTGTGCTGGTTGTGTACCTTTGTGTGGTCAAAATATTTGTTGCTGCAGGTTTTGGGGTATGTGCATCAACTTGTTAACTTCTACACGTGGGGTCTGTGCAACCGCCCCACACTCAAGAGTTGTCCATGTTTTCTAAGGTTTAGAAGGTCTCATGCATCCTCGGGAAACTCTCAAAATGGGCTCCAGCTTCTCTTCGAAATCATTTTCAAACCACTCCGGCAGGGTGCCAACTCCAAAACAGTATCCGAAGAGAGACCCCTCCCTTGAACCCCTCGTTTATCGGTGAATGGACAAATGCCCTAGGTGGTCAGTGGCACCCTTGTTTCCCTCACTGAAACGGGTCACTGGCAAAGTAGGTCTTGTTTCTGATGGGCCCACGATGTGAGACCTGTGAGGGAGGAGTTCATCCGAAGCTGCAGGCATGGCTGGATGACCAAGGTGAGGATGGACTAGGCGCCGATGAGATGTGTCACATTTGGCCCAGTTATGCACCTGGACGGCCGACAGAGCTGTCAAAAGGATTGGGCAAACTAGCACACCATGCCGATTCGGGGGTTAGAACCACCTCGTTTGTAAGATCATTAACATATCTCCTTCTGGAATCAGTTTGGAAGGCCTCCCGCTGGTATCACGGAAGGGAAAGGGGCCCCTTCCGCGCAGGTGCGAGTTCATTTGAGGCCAGCGGCCGTAGCACGCAGACCGCAGTGGCAGTGCCACTGTGACGATGGCGAGCGATGCTTCTTGGGGTTTCCTTAAACTGGGGCCCCTTTTTGCTCGGTCGCGAAGCCAAGGAACATCAACCCATTTGATTTGGGGGTCTCCAATTGAAGGAAACCCACATTCTTTCGAAGGGCCGAGGCTTCCTGCCTGCAGGCAGAGCCGAATGCGCCTCTGGCATGTTTGCTGCTGGAAGTTTGCGACCGCTCGGCTCGGTTGCAAAAATAAAGCTGCTTGCGGGCGGCGAGCATGTTTGCTGAAATTCGAGTGGGGTAGAATTGTTTCGCAAATCTCAATCAGCGCCAGTTCAAGTCAACCTAGTTTGTGACTTTCCCTTTGAACCATTTTGAGTCAAAGCAAGCTAAAACAAGTGAGCCAGGGCTCCACTAAAAAATTAGATTGGGGACTTTTCCGGCGGAATCATTTACGTGGGGACTTATGTTCATCAAGCATTTGGGAGGGTGTTCTGCATCATGTCATAGCCATATCACTAGCCGTGTGTCAGCATCCAGCATCGTTTGAAGAGCCGCGAGTTGCTCATACTGGGCCAGCAATCACACCCGGGCTAGAATCACAATGCAATTTGTACTTGCTGGTAACTAACATGAAACAAGCGATATAAAGGCAGGCTCCATGTACCAACAACTGCAACGTGTGAAGCAAAAGGCCTTGAATTTAGTCGCACCCTTTTACTTTCAGAGCAAAGACATTTCGTTAATGTCGCTCTTCGCTGCCAGCCGCTGCCTTAGCTCGGAACCGCGGTGGCATGCATTATGCCTCATCACCCTAGGGTCAATACGCCGGTGGGCAAAAGGGAACGCCTGGTGAAACAAGCTATCCCCTTACCCTGAATGCAGCATTAGTTTTTTTTTCAAGGTGTGCCAAAGGACGTGCTTGTTTTCCCAACTCAGCAAGGTTCAACGCCAGTTTGCTCGCATCTACGCCTAGTCAACGAAGGGCATTTTGCTTGACTAAAGCGCTGGCGGTTTCAACCCATTGAGTCTCCGGTGTTAGAGTTGGAGGTTCGAAAGGTTAGAGGTAAAAGCTGAAGGTTGTAGCAATTAGAGGTTAGAGTTAGAGGTCAGGGAAGTTAGAATTTAGAGCGGGAGAAGCTGGAGGTTAGAGTTAGAGGTTAGGGTCAGCTAGTTAGAGTCAGATTTTGGACTGAAGTCATTTTTCTCGACTCAAACGCTGGTGATGCTGCGGGTGCCGGCCAATTTAGTCTACCAACGTGTCCGACATCTACAGTTAATCAGCGGAAGATGTTGCTCTTGACTAAGATTCGTTGGTGATGCTGGGGTGTCAATCAATTCAATCACGAAAAGGTCAAAGGAGGGCATTTTTCAAGACTTAGTCGTGTAGCCAGCAGAAGACGTTTTTCTAGACTAAGGCACGGGTGATGCTGGGGGTGTTGACCAATTTAGCTCTCAAGGTTAGAGAGGTTAGAGCTTGGAGTTCGAGGTTCGAGAGAGAGAGAGGAAAGAGGAGTTAGGAGTTAGAGGCAAGAGGTTGGGGCGATAGTCCCTGGGCCCCTCAGACTCTCTTGTCCAACCACTAAGAACACGTTTCACCCTTTGCCGAAGGATGGCATGGCTTTGGCAAACGGGTCGGCGGATTTCTTGCTTTGTATTTTTTTTGGGGTAATGGACACCTCATTTAGTTCAAGTAGTTGTCAAGTTCCCATGTCAGTCGGGGCAGCGCACACGGGTATTTCCCCAAAGACGCGGATCCCCTTTGGATGGCTCTCAGAGGGAAAGCAAACAGACGCCAACCAGTTTTGGGAGAGTCACACCCATTTGGAAATTCATTCCGGGGCTTCTGTTGCCTTGGCCCATCCATCTATCGCACAATTGCACGGATTGCAGACCCATCTGAGCTCAGTCTTCTCATGCTTCAGCAAGGCCAAGGCGAAAGTATGGGCTCGTCTTATCACGGTATCCTTTTCTGCTTGGTTTTGAAGGAGCGCCAAAAGGAAACTGTTTGGGGGGTTCAACTTTGTTTTGGGGGGTCCGATTCCTTATGTAAAGACGACCCATATGGCTTGACGATTTTCCCTAACATTTGGTTCACTCAAGATTCGACGTGAGGCGCCTCTTTTGGCTGCCCTCTGTTTTCCGTTTCTTTGCACGCTGGAGCGGAAGCTTGAAGCTTCGCCGCTTACTCTGGTCCGCAAGCCCAGTTGCGAAGGTTAGAGGCACGCTTCCTTTCGGACTTTCGGGATCAGTATGTGTTTACCAACTCTTTACAGCTGTGTCTTTGAGGTGCAGCAGCCGAAAGCGTGCCTTTGGGCCATTCCTCCCCTTTGTAATTGGCAAGTTGTTGTGAATGCAGTGACTTCCTGTTGCATGGTGAATTGATTACTATTTGTGATATTGAGGAGTAATGATACACCGTTACTCGAAGGCGGCCCCCTCCCCCCCACCTGCGATGCTCAGGACTTCAGGCTTCGTACCGAACCGTTTTGTGGGAAGCGTTCGGGTCCAAACCGTTCTGTAATTAGCGTAGCCGAACTGTTGTGAAGTCAGCGATTGAATAGATTGTTGTGTCCCTTGTGTGAGAAATGCGTCTCACAGACCCTCCGCATTGTAACATTTCAGCGCAACGGTAACCAACAGCTTTTTGAAACCAGCGCAGATTCCCTCCTTTTGCGCTGAATCCGTGGGTATTTTCCCCGCCAGCAAGAAGGGACGGCGAATCTTCGTGCAATCTTTCGCGTTTGTTCAGCCAGCCGTAAGCACTTTTGTTTGTGCCAATGACCGATTGAGAAGTAGCCGAGGTGAGCCAGGTGAACCAAAACGGGGACCGCTTTGGGTGAAGCCAAGTTCAGCCAAATCGGGGTCCGTTGCCAAAATGGGGACGTTTTGGATGAAGCTGAGGTGAGCCACAATGGGGCAAATTCATGCAAACGAGGTTTATGCATCCGAGGTGGGCCAAAAATGGGAACCGTTCGGGCTGTTCATGCAACCGAGGTGGCCAAAAAAAGGGAGCCCGTTTATGCAACCGAGTTGGGCCAAAAATGAGGACCGTTGATTCAACCGAGGTCTATGCAACAAAGGTGGACCAAAAAAGGGGACCGTGTGTGCAACCGAGTTGAGCCCAAAATGGGGACCATTGGGCCAACCGAGGTTTATGCAACAGAGGTGGACCAATAAAAGGGGACCGTTTATGCAACCGAGTTGAGCCCGAAATGGGGACCATTGATTCAACCGAGGTTTATGCAACCGACTTGCCATGTAATTTTAGGTCAAGTAAAAACAGGAGCGCCTTTTCTTTCGATGCTTACGCGCAGAGTAGAATCAGTTGTCCTTATTCCCGCTTTTGTGGTTTGTGGTGTTTCTTCCTCGTTTGAGTGTGGTTATCAGCCGTTGCTCTTCTTCTTGGGGTTGAGATTCCCTCTCTACCTGCTCTGTTATCGCAAGGATTTCGCTCCATCGGTGCAGGCGGGCGCAAGGGGGGCTTGACTGTCCGCACATATCCAGCACGACTCGCGACGACTGGAAGTTCCTCAATGTCGACGATGTCGATGATGCCAATATTCTAATTCCTCCAACCATCGATGAGGTCGCGACAGCTCCATGCTTTTTGCGAATGACTTTTCAGACCAAGATGAAAAAGACGATGAAGTATTGCGTCGCTACTTGAAGCTGAACCGGATTTGGGCTGCCTGCAATATCCTGAGGGTGATGCGCGACATTGTTTACCGATGTATTGCCCTTGCTTTCAATTGCAGCTACTTGTCTTTCCACAGGCGTTGACATCAACATGGGACACAAGTTCATGAAGATGGATCTGGCTTCAATCATCTGTGTGATGATGAGCAAAGGAGAGCCCCGCATGCATTGGTTAAGAAGATCACTCTCCCCGCCAAGTGCATCTCCAAGCTTGAAAAATCTCAGGAAAGTCCACGCACATTGCTGGACATATTCAAGTGTTTCTGTACATATGTATATTAACACCCACCAGGAACGGAATGTCCTGGTCGGGACTGACTGAATCTCTTTGGAGGTTCGTTCTCATTCAGGGAGCCCCAAACGGTGCAGGAGAATCTTTTTTGGGAGCAAGCAGAAGACGATGCTCGGAAGGCACGCATAAAGTCCTGATCACAGGACACATTGAAATCATTGGGTGGTCAAACCTGTTGGCGCTTTTTGAGGTTCCCTGATTTCATGCTGGCCCAGGCTTGCAGGTGAACAGAGGTTGTCAGCCGCACCTGACCGCTTGGGCAAGATCAAGGTGTTCGGAACTGAGTTCATCCAACTCACGATTTAAATGGTGGTTTACATGAAACCTGCCCTGAGAATCTTGAGATTCAATGATGTGTGCGCCAAGCCTCCTTTGCAAAAGACTAAGGTGTGTTCCTCCCTGTTGAAAGCATGAGTGTAGGCGCTTCCTTGTGCGGACATGTTCGGATACATCCAGCTCTCCCCTCAAGGGCTTCAAGCCTTTGCAGAGGAAACCACAAAGCTGAACTTGTCAACGTATCTTGGTCAACCTTCAACCCTAATCCAAGAGTTTAAATCGTTCTACCCCCATCATGTCAGAAGAGGGCAAAGATGTAAGCTGCTACAAAACGTTGACCCAGGCATCTCTGAATCATTCCACGCCAATCTCCAGCAAATTCTTGGGGTGGCCATCTGACGGCTGTCCCACTTTGAGCGGGTGTGAGATGCAGGTACAAACAAACTTGTTGTTTGCCACGAAAACCACATTCCCAACAAGTGTGAACCAGGAACACAAGCTGGTAGTCTCCAAAAGAGGCGTGCCAATTTTGGGCAGGGGAGGGATGGCAACGGCAGGCGTGGATGGACAACAGTGGTTGGGCGCGCTCAGTCCGACGACCCAGCTTCAGGTGCAATTGGTCAGGTTGTCTAGCGTGTGGCGCCAATGAAAATAGAAGAGGCTTTTGCCTAGGAGTTGACTCCCCATTCTGTTCAACCATCGTTCTTTTCAAAATCAACCCTTTTCCCTGCATACTCTCCGCAAAGAACGGAAATTACCCCCGACACTGTGCTGGGTTCCGATACCCTGTAAGGGTCGCGCAGCATAGCTCCCTGTTTGGCGCTCCCT